GCCGAAATAGACTTTAACAAATTGTATGTCGTCAAATAACCGCTTTAGCTCGAATGAGTTGAATTCAAGAGACACATTGATTTACATCGGTGATTCACATAATTGAGCCGCTTCCAAAATAAATCATGCTTCATACATAAATTTAACATCAAGCTCTTTATAAACTCTCCACTGTGTGGCATTCGCCGACGCAAATACCAAAACTGTCTCTCTCTTCCACATTCGTTCACTTACTCACTCTTTGCATTTTCATTCTCACGCTCCATCTCCGTCGCTCCTTCACCATTGCAATTCCAATTCCAGCTCTCGCTTTCGCACATCTCACACGAAATTATCCTTATAAATTTTGTACGAACAAGGAGATGGATATTAATATAACATACAAACCCGAAATGGAAATGATCAGATTGTTTTGCTCATAAATAATTCCGTTTTAGTATTCGAAGGGATTCATAGTTTTTCTCACAAACACAACCGACTAACTGACTGACTGGGTGGTTGGCTTACTTGTACACTGTTGCTATGATATGCATACACACACACACACACACACACACCAACGCAATCAAATTAAATTTTCTGCACAAGAAAGCTAATATGCGCATAATATAATTTTCTATAAATTTAAATTAATTGTAATCGTTCTTAAACATGGTATACAATTATTATTTAAACGGCGGATGTGTGCTCAGGTTCACATGCATGCGTTCCAAAAATCGACTGGAAAACTATACTATCTGTTTCTCTTTCGCTCGCTCTTCATCTATCCGGCTGCAAGTAGGATGACCAATTTTAGTGTTGGATGCGCGTAAAATGCTTCATTAATAAGTGCTTGTAATTCGATACATCTATTTTAATTATAATATTCCGAAATAATAATAGAGTCAACGGTCCATGTTATTAGTTGTTTGCGAATCGGGACGACATCCATCCACATAATCTATCAGGCCACTTGTGCGCCCCATAGAGTAAGCGTTTCAATTAAAGGTTCGATTGTCGGTTGTGATTTACAAAATCACAATGACTTGTTTTGTTCACAAAATGCTGCTAGTCGTTGCTACTTGCGGAATCCTTCCCACACGATTCCCACATTTTTCGGAAAATCGAAATATGGTGCAAAAATATAGAATGCGGTACAACACACCGTTAAAAATGTGTTCCAAATCGGGTTTATCATAACGAAATAATCAACCACTAAAACCAAGACTCCATCAATGTTCAGTACATTTTCCAAACCTAAGCTCAATCAGCACTCGATAATTGCTTAAGTATTTCGCCTTGAGCCCGTGCGCGCACACACTAACCAACCAAACCAAACCCAGTCAAAATCATGCCATTCGAATTGCTGCGTATGTGAATCACTATAAAGAAAATAAATCGTACGAAAATGTTTGATGAAACGAAAACATCTGAAAGTCTTCTTCGGCAAGTCGTTATAACGTTACTACCGTCGCCGTTTCAGCATCTACGACGAAGGGTGTTTTTTTTGTTTCTTTTCATGTGTATACTCGTTAAATGTGCATATATGTGTGTACGTCTATCACTCTGGGTAATGTAAAACCGTGTACTGCGCCATTACGCTATTACCGCGAAAACCATTGAAATGTTTTTAATTTTACGTTGAGTAAACATTTCAATGGAAACACACACACACACACATATCCAACACACATCCAACACTCATCATACGAAATTTTCACCGCTCGGATGCAAACCATTATCAAATAAGAACCATAAGCGATGTTCAATCAGTGTTCAATAAGTATAATATTAACATAGCATCGTGTAGTACAAACACACACCCACATCGCAGCACATTGCATTGGCAATGGCAATGGCAACGCCAGCGAGCATAGTATATGTAATGATTTAAACTAGGTTAAAGAAATTTAATAAAATCTTCGAAAGGGACTTTCCAAGGCGGTAATTTTCCTGTGAATTTCAATGGCTTAAGTGGCGCGTCGAATGGATCTGGTGTGGAAAGAGAAAGTGTGAGAGAAAATAGCACGGATCGACAACAGCACCGGCAACCAGCGAATGCAATCACAGTAAACGTTGAAATCATCGTTCACGCGATAAATGCGCCGTTTCAGAATATACATCCTATGTAGTATATGCCAGAGTGAACAATACACATCACCGATATACCAGACACACAGACGAACTACGTGTGAATGATGTTGAATCGGTTAAGTTGTGCTCAGCATAAATATGCATATTGGTATGAAATGGTTGGATTGGAATCGTGGATGTGGTTATCGCAAGCGATGATACCAAATGCGCATTTTCTGGTTATGAAATTAAGTGCTTTTTAGTTTGTCTTGAAAAGCATTTCTTTTTCATAACAACTCGTTGTTCCTAAAACACTTTGCGCGCTCTTTCTTTCTCTTGCTCCTTTTCACGTTCGATATAATTAAAAGAGCGTTTTCCTTTTGCGTTCGACAATCGAATTCAATTCGCCGCTGAACCGGCAGAAGTGGTGGCGGCGACAGCGACGACGACCGCCGCGCATACAATCGAAACGAACACACATAAATTATACGATTTCAATCTCAATACTCTAACGATAGATTGCAATATCGTTGGAATCATCCGGGATATGATTTTGTGCTGGAATGTGAATAGTTGATTATCGAAGTGCGTGCCGTACTTCAAAGACTGACACGATAATGAAATGGAGGCATTCTCCCTCCTTCTTGCCAGAGAAATGATTTGGCATTGTTTTGTTTGTATAAATTTCCATTGTGATTTCCAATGCGTTTCTTTCAATCAGCGTAATGATTGTTTTTAACATGTGATTCACGTTTTTGGCCTCGCGCATCGTTTCACCAACGCCAAATAAAAAGCAACTAAGCCAAGAGTGGGGGAGGATTGGCTTTTTCTCTCTTTTTTTTCTCGTTGTCATCGTCGTTCTCTCTCTCTCTCTCTCTCTCTCTCTCTCTCTCGGTCTCTTTATCTCGAATTGCGCAGAAGAATGGCATCAAATCGAATTAAGTGATAATTCGAAAAACAAATACGGCCGAATAAAAATCGGCGGACCTGTCAAAGAAACACTGAACCGAATAATGTAAAACAATCAAAAGCAAAATCATAAATTCATCTCACATGTAGAGCACACACATCGAAAGAGGGATATAGATAAAGAGCAGCAGCAGCAGCAGCAGCGATGGCATAAAAACATAGCCATAGCTCATTCTTATCGAATAATTTTTAATACACATCAGCTCCACGGCGGTAGCGGCAACATCGATGGTGATGGTGGTGGCGATGACGATGACGACGACGACGGCAACGGTGGAAAAAAATCGAGTTACGCTTGTCACAGTTGTGCATGTAATAAAGAACCTGAGTTAAAACATTTGCACTGCGAATTTTTGATTGATTGATTTGATTTTCGACTGTGTCAATTATCAATATTTTTATGCTTGTGATTTCCACTTCGTATACTTTTGCTATCTCGCCCAAACCACTTCGAAACATTTCCATTTTCGATTCGACGATTCTTCATGAGCGCTCATCGTGTGGATATGCGTGTGTGTGTGAGTGTTTTCCTTCTATGTTGACTTTTAAGCCATTGTAAATGAAAATCCAATTGAATCGCGTAATTTATCACCGATGTTTTTCATTATAAAACACACACACACATATGCAATCGCTGTCGCACAACGTTTTTTTTTTTACTTTCTCTCACACTCTCTATAATCATCTCAACCAGTTGGCTTTCGTGTGTGCACATTCATTTTGTGCCACGCATGAAATCGTTAATGAGAGCATATATGCCGCCACGGTTTTACCTACACCGTATAATAGTAAAAACAACGGAAATTACGCTTTATTTTTAAGCCATGCTTTTACCCTCTCGTTCCTCTAGCTCGTTCATCTCGAATTTGTGCACGAAAATGGAATATTTCATCGCTTGTATGCACTTCACTCCGCATCCATCTCCTGTCTCCGCGCTCCCAATGCAATTCAGTAAATAATAAAATTTTCAAACGACCTAACACGAGCATAAATATCCGTACGTAAATTTTCGCGCATTGATTATTATTTGCACAAGCGAAAGAGTCAAGTGATGGAGAGAAATCGAGTGTTGGAGCAAAAAACGAGCGAGCGAACGAGCGAGCGAGCGAGAGAATGAAAAAAAGAATATAGCAAATTCCCATATTTATTGCAGTGCAACGCTGGAAAAAACAAATCAGCAGTTAAAAAGCATCAAACACAAATCACACAAACTTGATATCGCGCGCACGAACAAAATCAATTTTTCCGATTTATTGACATGGTTATTCTTGCATATTCGCTCATCTGTACAGATTACCACTTTTATACACCGCATGAAATGATGTCGATTGGCAGGTCCCACTGCGAGCCCATCGTCCCCATCCTATCTAGATGAAAACGACGACGATGACGACAACAATGATGATGACAGACGACGAAAGTGACAAAGTCTCGCAAACCGGTGTGCGACATCGAGAAAATCGGAAACGTCGCTGCTTTTTCATAACATACGAAAAAACACGCACACAATTGACACTCTCAAAGAAAACACGTTGGTGTTTTGCTGTTGTCGCAGCGAGAATCGCACCAAGCATTCAATGAAATTGATTTGCCGATAAATAATAAATGTGATAACATCATATTTACATACTTTTGCAATGAATCATACTAGTATCAATGTGATTCATTAATTTTCGAGTGAAATTACGATTTCGAAACAATGCCACAATGATTCAAGACACTTATTTTCTTTCTTTATGTTTATTTGCAATAAATACACTGATTCAGTTGTATCTTTATGTGATGGAGCGCGTAAATGTACGTGTGTGCGGTGCGCGCACACGGCACCAATGGGAAATATGTAATAAAATTGCGGCATAGCGCAAAGACAAGTGCACCGTTCGCATACTCACATTGACAGAAAAGAAATGTGTGTTTGAAGTGTTCCGATTTTGGATTCGTATACGATTGAAATATTCGGCTTATCTATTTCTAGTGAAGCAATCAGTTACACATTGTAAGCGATGTATAGTCCAGTCATCCAGTCAGCTATTTCAACCAATATACATCAAAAAATTGTAGCAATCGAAATGAAAAAGCAAATCACTCCGATACGATAAACTCTTAAACAATTTCCTATTCTTCTCGGAGCCCCGTGTTTGTGTTTGCACATGACAGACACTTGGTACGAACATAATCTGGTGTACAGTTTTCTTTCAATTTTTTTAAATTTTCATTCTGTTTTCTCAGTACAACGAGAAAAAAAAGAAAATTCATTAGAATCAAATCAATTTTATATACTTCAATGACAGAGTTTAAGTTACATACGCATTGTGCAGTGAATTCAGACTGAATAATAACGCACAAGGTATTAGTGAACCAAAAGTGGATACTCATAGAATGTCGACAGAATATTTACGTGAGTGTTATCCGTTATTTTCCACTTGATTTTTTTACACTTCGTTGTCGCATCGAAAGAATCGCCTTTTTTCGGTTGATTGATTGTTAAAAAAATTTAATGGAGATCATCAGCACGGTGATAAATTGATAACCATAATGATTTATAAATGCGAAAAACTAGCTTTTGGCTGGGAGAGAGAGAGAGAGACAGACAGAGAGTTGTTGTTGCTGTGGTTGATGATGAACTTTTTACACCTCACAGTGTGATCTCTAGTGCGGTCGATCAACCGCATATAGTATCGTTTTGTGTCGAACGGCGTTGCATGCATTAAGTCGAGACCATTTTCAATGGTTTCATGTCTGCGCCGATGTGACATCAACCCATTAATTTGGCAAAAAAGTTTACGTAACGCTCAATAATGACAGACATTTCATATTTGGGTCTGATTGAAAACTTCGATTAATACATATTCAAGGGCTTTTGTGTACAGTGTTTATATGTTTGTGTTACTTTTTTTCTCGCTCATTTTATTTTCCTTGTTTTTGCTGCTGCCTTTTTTTCTCCCCTTCGATCAGATGACCGAATGAATGGTGCCCAAATGTTGATTGAAATTGAACCAGAAGTTGGATCGACAACAGATCCACTTATCACTATGCTCTTGGGAGCTTTTCGAATATTGACAGTTTTGAAATTTGTGTCACCGATACGAGAGTCTCGTAACGAGACACAGTTGCTCACATTATCGATGGTGCACAGAAAACTCCTCGTTTAATTCGCAAAAAAAAAAATTGCAAAATTTATTCGCTACAATTTGAGCGGTACCATACGAAGTACGAGTGTTTTAGAAATTGTGTAGTTTTTTAGCTTCTAAACAGACATTGATGCTGAAGCTTGGAAAATGTGTAAATTTTCCATTATTTTATCGAGAAAAAAACAAAACAAAATCACTGTCTCAATTGTGAACATCATGCCCGAAGGCCAGAAAAAAAAACAAGGCAACAAGTGATAAACGAAATGAGTCAATTTTATCTACTCTTCAAACTAATTTGTATCTAACTTCAACAAATTCGAAAAAAAGGTTGACCAATCTGAAAATATCGTTTGAAGTTGATGTTTTTCCTCGTTCACATGAGCTATGATGACGTTTTTTATTGCTATTGTTGGTGTTGTTATCATTGAATATATCGAGAAATCAATCCATTTAGCAATTGATGCAATCGATTTCTCAAAAGTATTTTAATCAGCAAAACTTTCGTAGGTCACACACTGATGTTAATGAAATCAACCCAAGGCAAATATTGCATGATAATGGGTTTATGTATCCAACATATTTCGATGTGAACAAGTCAGATTGATTAGTGTATGGCTCATCTATTTTGTCGATTACGAAGAATCTTTTGTAAACATTTTTTTTTTGTTATCATATTGACCCGCTTGAATTGTCAAAAGAAACCACATACACAGCCACATGTCAGAAAAAAATAATAAATAAACGATTTTAAGTCGAAAAAATGGAATTTGATTTCAATAGAGTGAAACAAATGAATTAGAAGTTGATTGTCGTGCAAATATATCAGGGTTTTTCAGCGGACAGATAAGATAAAATTCGTCAAAACCCCAAAGCTCAATACACATTCCAGTAAAAGTTATATACCTACACCATCAATCAATTTTTTTTTCGGTTGACACATCAATTATTAGTTGCTGGATGGCTTAACTTGAATGCATAAAATCGCACGTTCACTTCATTCATAAAGTATTCCATTCATTGTAAATTGCTTGTTGATTCCAGTTTGAATAGAGAAACCATATAGGTTGAGGCTGACTGTGAATACTCAGAATGGATATTGTTGTGCGCCGACAATCAGAACAATTAAGCCGAAGACAGTTAAGACATCTCTCGGAGTCGATGGACGATGATGATGACAATGATAAAGCAAACAATAAGAAGTTTCGTGAAATCTACGATTATCGCCGATGGGAATGGGGCAATTTACGGGTACGTTAACACGCTACTCACTTTGTTGTTGTTTTTACTCCTTTTTCAACTATTTTATGAATGCATTTTATTTTCAAAGGAAAAATTGTTTGTGTGTATTTTTTTCTCTGTTTCTATTATTCCCGTAGACGGAATGTAAAAACTTGGGCCTAGAAACGTTTTATCGAACGTACGTGCAACGATTGCAGCGCAGTTATTTGTCGGTGTTTTTTGTGATGCACACCATAGTTGGTATGGCTCATACAATTGTTTTAGTTGCAACACAGGTAGATTCAATAATATAGAGACAAATTCGCGTTTTTTTGTCATTTGTTTCGCTTCGTTTAAAACAATAATTCCGTTGAAATGCTCTCAATACAATTTATTTGCTTCACAGAAATCAGCGCCAATTAGTCCGGAAGTGTATTGTAACTTGGCGAGCATAATTGTTGTGTGGGTGTCATTGATATCGTCCTTCAATGAGCATTTAATTAAAAAACAAACTTGGATACCAAATTTCGGATCGGTGGCAACCGTCATTGGTCTGGTTATGTTGGATATCATCGTACCATTGTACCATTCTGTGATAACACGTGTGATACTGCGGCCCAGCTATGATGCTTACACCATTTTTGCAATTTACATATTCTTGCCACTGCCCGAGAATTTGCACAGCGTCATTTTGGCAATGGCAACCACATTTAGCTATTTACTGGTGACACATGTTATGACTTATCGTGTAGACGAGCATGCCGTAATCAAAGTAATTAACTTCTCGATGAATTTCTCAACAATTTTGCCGATTATTTTAGGAATTCATGCATTTTTTTGCCTATTATTTCTACTGCATCATCATTTAGACATTCACCGATTTGGTGTATTTGCTCGCTGTCAATTTCTTTGGAGTGTATGTACGTTTGCAGAATGAGGTGGCAATCCGAAGGGCATTCCTTGACCGCAGAGAATGTGTCGAAGGGAATTTGCTGTTGCGGTATGCTCGAGATCAAGAAGTTTGTTGAACATGTTTTTTTCCCTCTATTTTCTCTTTTCCTTCTACTTATTCCGTTTACTGTCCTCCATGATACTCGATTTAAAGCCAACGTGTCTTTTTTTTATTGTATTGGATATTGATATTTTACCCTTTTATGTTTGTTGTAATGTCATTATGTATGTGTGTTTGTTTTTTTTTTCTCTTCTCGGTTCGCCTTTTGTTTGCAGAAAAATTTACTGCTAAGCATTCTGCCAGCGCATACGGCATCCGTGCTTGAGAAAGCCATCCGTGGCATGATTGAGAAAATTCGACAAGAGAAACACGAATCAACACAGGAATTAAATGCCAAGAGGTAATTGATTTTTTTCTCGAAATAAACGAAGCGAAAGTGTTTCGTGTAAGAAATGTAATTACAAGCACACTTGCAGCACAGCCTCGATATTCCGATACCGAGACGTCAATGGCGTGGACAACCAATCAAACTTTATATTGAGCACCATAAAAGCGTCAGCGTACTTTATGCCGACGTTGTGAATTACACATACATCACGACTCAGCTACCGGTTAAAACGTTGGTCGACGTTTTACACGAACTATTCGTTAAATTCGATCAGGCTTCCGAGGTAAAGCTTTTTTCACTTTCTTCTCCATGTTGTTGGCCGCATTGTTATTGTTCGTTTATGATTCTATGAACTTGCCACTCATGGAATTTATAATGGCGATTAATTGCATAACGATCTGTTTGCAGGAGTACAATGTTCTGCGCATAAAATTCTTGGGGGATTGCTACTATTGTGTGAGGTTGGTTTTCGTCTATTAATTTTACATCAAAGGGTTTATTTTGAATTTTTGTTGTTGATTTTTAATCATTTATGCAGTGGTGTTCCAGAACCGAATCCACAGCATGCGAGGAGTTGCGTTGACTTGGGGCTACGAATGATTCGTGACATTCGTGAGGTACGCGCCCAACGAAACAATCTGAATATTGATATGCGAATTGGCGTTCATTCGGGCTCAATAATGTCGGGTGTGATTGGCGCCTGTAAATGGCAGTATGACATTTGGTCGAAGGATGTGAGCATTGCAAATCGATTGGAAACAACTGGAGTGCCAGGGTATGTAAACCGCACGTACCCATGTACAAAACTGCACTTGTGCGCAATGTGGCACTTTGGCCAACCCACATTTGTTCTTTGGTTTATTCAATTTAAATTTCCATTTGCAGCAAAGTTCACATCACTCAGCAAACACTTGAATTATTAGAAGACCAATACTTTTTCGAACCGGGCACGGAAATGGCAAAAAAAGATCCCGTCCTCATCCGAAATAACATTGAAACATTTTTGATATCACCGCAGTACTATGGTGGTGATTTTCACGTAAGTTACTGGCAATGCATTGCAATGCATTCACTTTATAGCTTAAAATTGTGTGCACAAATTCAATTTGAAAAATGTTTGCATTCAGTATTACAGTCCGGACGAGCTGAACCGAAGGTATTCGTCTGGCGTAAAACGAATGATGAGCCGGTCAACACGCAATAATGTAACGTATTTTGCCCTCCCCCTCTTCACAGGAGGCAACAGTGCTGATTCTGATTATTATCATCGTAGAATTAATGTAAATGTTCTCTCGTTTCCATAATTTATAGAAGAAACTATTCATTGACTGTACGCTGCATCGAAATTACATTGGCAAAAATTTTATGCAAAATTCGATGGAACAGTATATGCAAATCATGAAACAAACCAATACCGAAATGGCACTGGAGCTGGACCGAATGCCGATTGGAAAATTCCAGTGAGTGTTGCATTTGGTATTTGCGGGCTGGGCTGTAAATAATATGCAATTGCTTTGCAATGATTCGGTTTAACTCTCTTTTATTCATTTTCTCTCTCTCCCTCTCTCTCTCTCTTTATTTCTCTTGTGCTCATCGTATTTATCTCTCTCGTCAGTTTCAATCACTTGTTTTCGAGTCGTCGCCGTGATAGCTGCGAGGATGCCGAATACGAGCGTTCGTCATTCAGCAGTAAGGTCTCGACAATTCTATTGCGATTTCGCAATAAAAAGTGGGAGATGTCTTTTTTACATGAACAAGATTTAATGCTCAAGTACAGCACATTCATGTGCTTCATCGTTTTCATTGGAATCATCGTGGCGCAGGCACTGAATAATCCGTAAGCATTTTCAAAATTCACACCATCATTGCACATCACTCACTTTTATACAGCGTTACACTTTTTTTTATTCATTGATTTTTTTTCTTTCGTTTTTGTTGTTGTTCGTTTTTTTCTCGTTCTCTTTCTCGTTCGATTGGTTCTTAATACAGTGACGGTTGGAGCTATTGGATGTTGAATGCAGTCGCTTTTTTAGTTTTACTTTTCTTCTTAGCGATAACTTGGTTTAAAAAAATCTGGATATTGTTAAGGCCAATAAACGAAGACGATCCAAACTTGATTGAATTGCCAACCAACCCATTTTTGAGATACTTATTCAATACATCGAAGAGTGTCATGAGCAATGCTGTGGCTAGAATGCTGATTTATTTTGTGTCAGTCTGCGTGCTTACGCTCAGCGCCTTAATTCATTTAGTAAGAGGCAAATGCGGTGCTAGCACCAGCAATATAACGTTTCTTTTTATTTACACGCGATTTTCGTTTTTTTTCTCTCGATTTTTATTCATAGATTGGATGCGATGTAGCTAACGAATGTACCGATGAGGATAGTGAAGTGGATGTCGTTGTGCCACCTAAATATTCACCGTGCTCAAATCAATGGGTAATTTCCGAACTCGATTTTTGTCATTTAATTTCGAAAAGTTACTCAACTCAGTCTCTCTTTCTCTGTTTCCTGTTTTTATCTCTCTTTTCTTTGGTTAAAATTCTTTGCAGGGCATCACGCAGAGTTTAATTATGGCCATTTGCACTAACTTTTTGTTTGTTCGCATCCATTTTGTCCTGAAATTGGTTGTTGGCAGCTTAATTGTCGGCTTTTATTCATGGATAATTTTTGGTCCATATGATTTTTTGTTTGAGGTAGGAAACACAAACTAATAGTCTCTTTTTATTCCACTCATCATTGATTTTTAAAAAAAATTCCCTGTAGAACGGGCCATCGATAAGCGCTTCTCTAGATGCAAGAGTTGGACACATCCTCATTGTTATCTTCATTACGGCCTCTTTGCACATGGTTGACAGACAAACTGAATACATTACTCGGGTTGATTACACGTTAGAATTTAATTGAATGTTATTTATTATGTTTTTGTTTTTTGTTGCGTCAATTTTCGTACCGAAAATTGCGAATTTTTCTTCGAATATTCTTTTTTTTTTTCCACACTCTACAAAAATAGATGGAAACAACAACTTCAGCAGCGTCAAGAGGAATCAGAATGTACGAAAGACACCATTCGAATATTAGTGCAAAATATTTTGCCAGCGCACGTAGGTGGGTTCATTTCGCACTCATACTGTCTGAAGTGAGCCTGAAAAGGCGCTTTTGTGCGATGTGATGTTAAAATTAAAACTGTATTGTTTGACCTTTCGCAGCTGAAATTTACATGAACCGTCAAATGAAGGACGAATTGTATTACGAGGAGTATGATAATGTTGCAATTATGTTTGCAACCATCACCAACTATGACATCCAGTCTGATGCGACAGCGGATATTGAACGAAATATTTTAAGCATATTAAACCGGATTATTTGTGATTTCGACGAAAAGCTATTATCGAAAACTGGCCCATTGAAATTAGAAAAGATTAAGGTATCGGGCTGGACGTATATGGTGGCATGCGGATTGGATCCAGGCCGTAGTGATTCATCCGGATCAAACAGTGGCTGCAGTTCGCCCAATCAACGTACGTCATTACTGTCGAATGGCCGTAGGAGTTGGAATACATTCAATTTCAGTAAGTTGGATTTAAATCTAAGACAACACAGACCACTAGAGAGAGAAAAGAGAAGAAAACACCACCACGACTTCAATTAAAATCCGAAAAACAAAAAATTTAAAAAAAAAAACGTATTTCCAGAAGCTGTACCAAAAAGTCCAAAGAAAAATCCAAGATACGATCCATCGAAGCGAGAACGAAAACAGAGCGGCAGACAATCGCAGAATGTTGTTTACGTATTAACCGAATTCGCACTTGAGCTTATGCGAATACTTGAGGCATTTAATACGGAGAACTTTCAAAGTGATGGAAAACTGCGAATTGGTGAGAGATTTATTCTTTTAGCTTCTTCTTTTTTATTCTTTTCTCATGTCTTTAATACTACTATTATTCTGCGGTTCTCTTCTATTTTCGCCCATGTTTCATTTCATTTCATTTCATTTCATTTGGCTTTTTAAACAGAATGCGAAAGAATGAAGAGCTGAAATGAAATGAAGAAATGGAATCATTTGCTCAAAGACTTATTTTATTGGCATTGATTACAGGAATCGCTCACGGCAAAGTGATGGCAGGCGTGGTCGGTTCGAGTAAGCCGCTTTATGATGTATGGGGCAACGCAGTCAATATGGCGAGTCGAATGGATAGCACGGGTATTCCGGGTAAAATACAGCTTACCAAAGAATCAGCGGAAGAATTACAATCGTTCGGCATTCGCTGTAAATATCGTGGTGAAACGTTTATTAAAGGCCGTGGCAACATACCGACCTACTTTGCGCTCATTAATGAACAACTCGAATTCGTGAAAGAACCACAACCAGTGGAATTACATCACTTCGATACACATTTTTAGCAAATAAGTAGTTCATCATGATTATTTCTTCGATGAAGAGCATTTATTAGATTTATTTTAACTTGCACAATTGGACGAACGAAATGAGAACGAGAAGGAGAAAAAAGGAGAGATGCGTATTCCTTGTCAATCTGATATATTGAGAACGGAAGGCAAAGAAGTAAAAAAAAATATGTTTTATTCAAGTGTTTTTGTACGTATTTTCCATTTCAGCGAACCGATTTTTCCTATTTATCTGAAAAGAAAATGATTTAAAATTCGAACAAAAGAGCATCTATTTCGAAATCAAATTGGAAAGTGCAAAGCAGAACAACGGAAATGAGTTTAGAAGCAATTGTATTTATTTACATGAATCCAAAGTGTGAATGCAATTTTAAATGTCTTTGAGTCACATTGGAACAGTGTGTTTTTGTACGTTCATGGAACCTTTAAATCTTGATCAACGATTGTCTAAAGTCTAATCACTTGACATGTGCATGCTTCAAGAGAAAGAGAGAAAGAAGCGAGAGAGCGAGAGTTTCAGCTTTAGAATTCAGAAGCAAGAGAGAAAAAAAAACGCCCGAATCGATGCTACGCAAAAATATGCTCTGAGGTTAAAAGTACTTTGCAAGCGTTACATGTGAAGTGTTTTGTTTATGTGCCCGTATATTTTACTGCTACCGCACACTTTACGAGTACATCCATACAAAATGTTGACAAACGAAGCGATTGAAGTGCGAAAAACAAAGCATAAATCGTCTGACTTATCAATGGAATCGCGTCGAATTTTGCCATCTATAAATCAATTGTGCTCACATCCATACACACCAACAGACACACACATGCACGAAAGAAGAGCATTTCATTTTGTATATTGAACGCCACAAGCCATGCATAATCTACAGCCACATCTAAGTGTTGGACGCTTCGACTTTGATTCAATTACATTGCACAGGGCGATTAGCGTGTACAATGTACATACACACTCAGTCATTGAGCCAATAGCAAATGGACAAAGCAACGGTAGAGGTTTTTTTGTGTGTTGTTTTATTTTTGTGTCGATATCATCTGTGTATAGTGTATGTGTACGCTGTTCTGTCAAGCTATTAAATTTGATTACTCCATCCTGGCCGATTAGATTATCGATGTTTGTGTACGATTTCTCGTCGTTTTTCGACAACATTTAAATCGCGTTGTAACATTTGCAATACGTTCTGACCGCTGTGTGCATTCCAGTTTGTGACAAAGTGTAGATATAAGTATATAAAAATCAAAAGCAAAATCAAAACAATGCGGTTGATGGAAAAACAGTGGATTTTATTTGTCATTTTTCAAGCGTTGATCATAGCATGTGTACAATGTGAAAGGTATCAAGTGATAACGGTACAAGAGCCGGCATACGAACCTACTTGGGATTCACTTGATTCAAGGCCATTGCCATCATGGTATGATGACGCAAAAGTTGGCATTTTCCTACATTGGGGCGTCTACTCTGTACCCACATTTGGCTCTGAATGGTTTTGGAAGTATTGGCGTGATGAACACGTTCCGTCTTATGTGGACTATATGACGAAGAACTTTAAACCAGGTTTTACTTATCAAGAGTTTGCACCACAATTCACCGCGGAACACTTCAACGCCGACGAATGGTCCAAGTTATTTGCGGAGAGTGGAGCCAAGTAATTGCTGCCGGTGTAAATTGATTGAATGGAAGTGAGAGCTAACTTTGTACTTTGATTTTCTTATTTCTTCACAGATATGTGGTTCTGACAAGCAAACATCATGAGTAAGTATTGAAAATATTTCCAACTTTGATGTAACGGATGTTAAAGCAAAGATATAATATAGTGGGTATGCCCTGTGGCCGTCCAAATATTCGTTCGGTTGGAATTCCATGGATGTTGGCCCGCATCGCGACTTGATTGGTGAACTGTCCAACGCAATCCGCACAAATACAACGCTTAAATTCGGACTGTATCATTCGTTTTACGAGTGGTTCAATCCGATGTTTCTGAGTGATAAGCAAAAAGAATTCAACGATAATCTGTTTGTTGTGAACAAAGTGAGTACACGAACCATTTGCAATTCATCCCCAACGAATTTTGCAGATGGCAGCTCACCCTGCATCTGTGAATCGAAGCTTTTTCCCCCTTATGGCAACGTCACCTATCATTTCAAAACGGAAATTCACCATATTTCGGTGTTCGTATTTATGCTCTAGGTCATGCCAGAAATGAAAGAAATCGTGAACAATTACAAACCAGCAGTATTTTGGTCAGATGGCGACGAAGAGGCGTCAAGCGAATACTGGGATTCAACTGGTTTTCTTGCATGGTAACCAATAATTTGAAAAATAATCTTCAAATAGCAACCTGTTTACTATTATAAATTGGATTTAGGCTTTACAATGAGAGTCCAGTCAGAAATACTGTAGTCGTTAACGACCGTTGGGGAAAAGGTGCTGCATGTAAACACGGCGGCTTTTACACATGTGGCGATCGATACAATCCAGGTATTTAAACAGCAGCAAATATTTGAAGAAGATTATTAATAGGATTGATGTAATGTGTGCCTCGTAGGTGTTTTGCAAAAACACAAGTGGGAAAATGCGATGACGATTGATAAAAAAAGCTGGGGCTTTAGGGCCGATGCGAAAATCGATGATTTTCTAACAAAAGAAGAGTTAATAAAAGGTAGATATTTTGCGCTGAACAAATGGTTCTTCGGTTTATTTAAATAAAGAAATGAGACGTAGAATACTGCCAAATGAATAAACAATGAAATAAATTCTATTTTAGAAATCGTGATCACTGTGAGCACAGGTGGAAATATTCTAGTGAATGTTGGACCAACACAAAATGGTTTGATTCAACCGATTTTCGTTGAACGCCTGCGGCAAATGGGTAGCTGGCTTAATATAAACGATGAGGCGATCTATGAAAGTCGTCCATGGATTTATCAAAATGACACAGAAACAACTGGTGTCTGGTACACATGCAAATCAGAACAAACAGACCGCACAACTGTGTATGCAATCGTATTGGACTATCCGTATGATTCAGCCGGCAAAAATCTTTATTCGCTTGGCGGCAAATTCGATGAAAATACCAAGGCGAGAATGTTAGGATATCCAAAAAATCTTAAAGTATTTTCATTTTATGATTCCTATGGAAGTTTTTACTTTTATTATTTAAACATAACATTTAATCGTATTGCTTTGGATATATTTTTGCAGTGGTATGGTTCAGAGGAGTCAATGTACATTGAATTTCCCAATAAAGCACAAATCGATAAATTGGGCCTGCATTCAGCATGGACAATAGCAATTAATTTGCCGAAACGTTCTTAATGCAACGGAACTTTCTACACTGACACTGCAGAATTAAATACTAGACTAAGATTGAATCGAATGCTTGTGACTTGTAACTGGAAACATTTCTTTAAAAAGCTGAAAATAAATTGATGAGAATTATTTCTAAAACTATCTATTGCAAATGGTTAGGCTTTTAGTTCTTATATAAAGTGGAAAATTTCAAACGTAAAGCCGTTACATAGAATATATGTGCCACCTTTTATATGACATCGCCGTTTCAGATTTGTATCATGGACAAGTGCTTAAGACGCATTCCAACGCAAATATAATGCAAGTGGAGACACACACGGGTGTAACTTCTTCTTCTTCTTCTTCTTCAGTTGAATCTATATCTATTTTTAAATTATCTTTCGATCAGAGATTACTATGGGATATTTTTATTCATATGGAATAGAAATATCGCATAAAAATAAAAGATGTTTTTCACGTGTTGCGTCCAGCGAAACGCATAAATACACAATAGCGATTCTGCACACAGAGACTCACTGTTTTTTCGTTATACTCTTCACACTTACGATGAGCTGCGCGGAGCGTACATACACATGTTTCGCTCACTTCTATCTTTGAACACTCTTCGTGTGTCAACACAATGTCTGTGTGTGTATCGCTTGTGCCGTCGTTTGTAAACGACGTCAATGAGCTGGGTACGAAGAGTGTCGATCGAGAGAAAAGAGCGAAACATATAAATGCATGCATCGCGCAGCTCATTGACGTCGTTTACAAACGACGATACAAGCGATACACACAAAGACATTGTGTCGACACACGAAGAGTGTTCGAAGAAAGAAGTGAGCGAAACATGTGCATGCACGCTCCGCGCAGCGCATCGTTAGTGTGAAGAGTATAACGAAAAAACAGTGACTCTGTGTGTGCAGAATCGCTATTGTGTATTTATGCGTTTCGTTGATCACAACGCGCGAAAAATATTAGATATTTTTGGACTCTGAACATTGAACGCCGAACGCAACGCGTAAAAAAAAAATGTTATTTTTATGCGATATTTTTATGCGATATGAATAAAAATATCCCATGGTAATCTCTGCTTTCGATACATACTGTGGTTTCATTTTTTTCCCTAAAGCGTTGGAAAGGTGTAATGAGGGCGATTATTAGCAGAAAAAACTAGAGTGAAGAACTTTGTTTATTCTGCTTGTTCTTGTTATTTTTCTGGATGACATCTGTTTCTATAAATTATTTGGTTGTTATCACAAAATAACAAAATTCAAGTCAAAATGATTGTTTCTGTTTGCATTCTTGCATAAAAACACCGTTTTTTCTTCAACCATTGAGTTTTACTATTGATAACTGAGATGCATGATTTCGACATATTTATAACATTTCTGGGAGTTTTGAATATTAAACAAATGTGAAAACCAAATAAAAACTGACAACTTCGATTACTGTCTGAATATATGGCATTTTTATCAGTATTAGAGTTTAGCCTGCAAAGAGGTCACACATGTTCTGTTTTTTGTATCGAATGAACAAACTCAATTCTCGTGCCGAAAGCAAACACATAACATGGGAAATAAATTTAAAAAAAACAGTTCGGGGCGATGTAAAAATTACTTAGAAGAATGCAAAATAGACAAATTGAAATCTCTCTAATTATTTTTTTTTTTAAATTGATACCACAAGTTTTGTGTTCATTTTCGGCACGAAAATTGAGTATGGAAAAGTTTTTTTTATTTTATATCAGCTATTTTGTAATAGAATTTGGCAATAGAATTAACAGTCAGTCTATGTTCTTTCACATATTTGATTATCAATGCGATAAATTTAAAAACTCAATAAACAGTTCACTTTTCCGCAAATAAATTCATTTTATTTTATAACAGCCTTTCTGATCATGAAAATAGTAAACAGTACTTAGTACCTGGGGACTAAGTGCAATGTGTCCTACTTTTAACGGTCGAACTAACACAGACGCGTGGTTGTTACAGCAAACTATGTCCATGATTCTCTAATTCTCCAACCAGTCTCCAGGTGCCAATTTATTTCTCTTGTTTGACGTGTTCTATCTGTTTGTACAGACGATCAGAGAGGCTGATTTTATAAAAAGGCTTAGTGAATTGCTGGCATCATATAATGTCATTGATATCAAGATTTGCTATATGTCGAAGTTTAGCGCTAACTTGGGGATGAAATCGAGGCAATTTGAAAAAAAAATCGTTTCTTAGTGAATTGTCGAGGCGAGTTTGACTTATTTCAAAGCACTAGGGCGCTGTCGTCACTCGTGCCTACTATCGCCGGTTATGATTAAAATCGCATCTGTATTGACATTGCAAAAAAGGGTGACACTGAAAATGTTCAATAAATAGAACCACACTTCGTTATAGGTTCTCAGTTAGAATTATCGCTCGGTTCGAGTTAGTCGTATTACCATTGATCGGAATAGACGTTAAGTTGGCAAAATTCAAATCTCTTTTAATCAAAATTGATTCTTTAGCTGGTGAACAATTGTTGACGGAAAAACCATACAATTTTTTTGGTTTTTAAAATCAAATTTAATGCTGATACTCAGAGATTTTTAAATTTTACATACGATTTTCTGAATGTTTTTAAAAATTTCCAACAATCAGTTGAAAATAGTGTAGAGTGAGTAAGACACTGTACCACCCTGTAGCCTTTAGCCATTAAACTTGCTGTTTCATTCGAACTGATTAGATAATGAAGGTTTTGTCTATAAACAATTTTGTATAAACTTCAATGAGCTACTGCACATTCGGCAATTTGCTTGTTGTATATATAGTTCAGTTAACTGGTGCGTTCGGTGTGATCAACATTTGAGCATTGTCAAGTGATAAAATAAGAGAGAAATAGAAGAAAGCAAAAAAAAAAACTACGATGACAAAAAATCTGGTTTGGTTTTTTGCTTATTTGGCGGCATTTGTGATCAACTGTGTTGTGAGTCAAGTGGTAGTTAGTCGAACGGAATACCAACCGACATGGGATTCACTAGATACACGACCATTACCGAAATGGTATGACCAGGCAAAAGTTGGCATTTTTCTGCATTGGGGCGTCTACTCTGTACCAACATTTGGATCTGAATGGTTTTGGACGAATTGGCGTAGTGAACGCATTCCGTCTTATGTGGACTACATGACAAAGAACTTCAAACCGGGTTTTACTTACCAGGAGTTTGCGCCACAATTTACTGCCGAACACTTTGATCCCAACTATTGGGCGACTCTATTTGAACAAAGTGGAGCCAAGTAATCTTTATACAAGCCAATTTATCGGGATAAATGACTAATTTCTATTGCTTTTTTTGTGTGATTTAGATATGTGGTCTTGACGAGCAAACATCACGAGTATGTTTCAATTTCATTCTTTCGTTTTGTTTTCCAGTCAATTCTGGATTAATTTTTTTTAAATCTAATTCTCATTTGAATTTATTTTCAGTGGATACGCTCTTTGGCCATCGAAATACTCATTCAGCTGGAATTCAGTGGACGTTGGACCGCATCGTGATATCATTTCCGATCTTGCCACTGCAATTCGAAATAAAACATCACTCAAATTCGGTCTCTACCATAGTCTGTTTGAGTGGTTCAATCCAATGTATTTAAGTGATAAACAAAAGACATTCAATGATAATCTGTTTGTTGTGAACAAAGTGAGTATCAACACCATTCCAACGAATTCGGTCGAAAATCTCAATAGATGGCGCTAGCGATAAAATTTCGAATTGAAAGTTCAGTTTATATATGCAAGCTTGTCAATTCAAATAGCTGCTATCTATTTTGTCGATTTTTTTCGTGAGTCGTCATATTCAATTTTTCGAATGTTTTATAGTCTATTGAATGAATAATTCTATACATTCGTCTAGGTAATCCCTGAAATGTTGGAGCTTATAAATACATATAAGCCAGAGGTGCTTTGGTCGGATGGTGATTGGGAAGCAAAGTACGATTACTGGAATGCAACGAGTTTCATTGCATGGTAAGGTGGAGAAATTTTCCGTACATCAAACACGTGTATGAGCCGCATTTTCCAATTCCAATAGGTTGTACAATGAGAGTCCAGTGCGCGACACAATCGTTACAAATGATAGGTAAAATAGGATTGATGGTGAATTCATTTACCTTGTTATCTCAAAACTCCACTATGTACCCGGAGAATTTCATTTACCTGTCATTTTTCACAAATTCTATTGATTTAGATGGGGTATTGGGACACTTTGTAAACACGGTGATTTTATTACATGCTCAGATCACTACAATCCAGGTATCTTCTACAAGCATGCCACTCAAATCTATCCATGTTATATTTATGAATGAATCTGTTGTTAGGCACACTGCAGAAGAAAAAATATGAAAATGCCTTCACGATCGATAAATTTAGCTGGGGATATCGGGCGAATGCGCGACTTGAAGATTTTATGACCCAGGAACAATTAATCAAAGGTAATAGTGATTTTAAATAGTTTTAAAGAAATTATTCCAATGTAATTTCATCATTAGAAATTGTGGTCACCGTAAGTACCGGTGGAAATGTCCTGGTGAATGTTGGCCCAACACAAAATGGCTTGATACAGCCGATATTCGTTGAACGTTTACTCCAAATGGGAAGCTGGCTGAAGATAAACGGCGAAGCGATTTATGAAAGTCATCCGTGGATTTATCAAAATGACACAAAAACACCGGATGTTTGGTACACAAGCAAATCAGCAGATGCAGACCGTACGATTGTGTATGCGACTGTGTTGAAGTATCCTTATGAATACGGTGAAATAAGTCTTTACTCACTTGGTAGCCAATCTGAGGTAGCTGAAGTTCGAATGCTTGGTTTTCCTGGCGAGCTTGAAGTATGTTTCAATTTCATATTTTTCGTTTTTTCTTTCTCTGTCCGACTAATTTTCATTCAAATTTATTTTCAGTGGTCTGGATCAAATGAAGCAATGACTATCCGATTTCCGGATAAAGCACAAATTGATAAATTGGGTCTTCATTCGGCATGGACGATTGCAATTAATATACCGAGAAAAATCTCAAACGATTTGATATAAATTCAAAAGACAGCGAAAAAATTGCATGAAAAACCTCTTTTATGTCACAAACAAAGTACTTCTTCTGTCTGAGTGGAAATGATACGTTTTTCAGGAAAAATAAATTTTATTCAAGAGATAACACTCCTCATTTTTTACGAATGATTGTGAAAGAAAATTCAATGTGGAACCAAAATAGACTTTTGACTCGGAAAAAAAAATTAAGATGAAATCGATCGATAAAAGACAGTCAATTCTAAGAAAAATTCAAACGTCATTTCGACCGTTCTTCTTTTCCATATTGTTATTTGCTTTAATTGAATTGTGTATTTGCAAGAGTCTCCCAATTTCTTTCATTAAGGGGTTAAAATTCGAACAATAAACTTTTTTTTCATCGAAAATTGAAACTTGTATCATCTGATTGTTATTAAAATCCGCTCTTTGTTCCACTTCTTCTTTCTTTTTTTACGGCATTCCATTGCTTTTTTACAATATGTTTTCTGGCGGTCCTTACGTCTTATACACCATCCATCCCGAGATAATTGATGCACCAAAACCAACGCACGCGTTTTTCATGATCTATTTAGGCCCATGAAAGTACTGTAACTTATTTATTTTATGTCCTTCCTTCGTTTCGTTGAGGCCATAATTTGAACCAGCTTACGTTGGCAGACACTCTGTCCACGTTACTTTCCGGATTTGTGTAAAATTCGTCTATTTTTATTACCGCTTCTATGCAACGAAGACGATAATATTCTTCGTTATAAGTCTATTTCAATATGTCTGAATATTTTTCATTAAAGTCATCAAGCCGAACAGAGTAACGTTTGACTAATTTTTGCGGTCAATTACCGGTTTTCATCTTATTGATATAATCAGATGTATAGGAGGCAAACCGCTTAAAAATGTTATATCGTAACAAAGTTATCGCAATGTGTACGATTTCTCAACGAAAAACACACCAATCAATTGAGACAGATTATTCGCTCGCTTGCGATGCAATAAGACAAAAAACCCAGGGGCTTACTCTTTAATTTATGGAAATGTGTGTATTTAATTATAAAATGTGATACAATCTTGCCGTTTCTATGTACGCGTTTGAATATGGAAATGTGCTGCATTCTCAATCCCTGACGTGAAGAGTTTTTCCTTTTCTTTCCTTTTGCAGAACTCAACATTTGGCGGCTCAAGTGTTTATGCTTTATAGAAGAAATAAAAGACCTTTTCCCCTTGACGATACAAAATCGTCGGCAGTTGATGTTCTCGAATGTGAGACACATCACACGTGTATTCCTATTCATTTTATTCATTATTTCGAGCAAGATGACTTATACTGTTGAGAAATTTAGCATTGTTACCCGTGTAGGGATGTTGCCACATGAGTCGCATGAAAGTGTTTGAGACAGCCATCCATCCAGCCTTTGCATGTGAAATCAAATCACTTGCAATTTTCAATGCGATTCAACTCGCATACAAACGGTGTGGGTATGTGTCATCCGGCGGATGTTTTCACTTTCGTTTGCAATAATCGTTACATGAATTTAAAGCACAATCGATTGAATGAATGTTCAAATCGAACATGTTTCAATACATGTAGTAAAACGTCGAATAAAATCCGTGTAAATCAATATATCACACTGGGAGTTAGTACGTATTGTTGTTGTTGCTGACGCTACTGTTGCTGTTGTCATGCTTTTCTAATAGAAACCTACATTATAAATCCAGAAGCAGTACATTCAATTGTATCGAGCACGATATCATCATGTCCTTCGCTGCGTGCTCCAAACATGTATTATTGCTTTCACTTGAAAGGGTTCTGTCGCAATATAAATTTAGATTGCACACATCTTCAATTCTGTTCAATCAGAAAATCCATTCTTAGTGTGCATGATATTGTAAAGAGATCAGCAAAGAGAGAATAATAGTCTGACACAGTCGTCTAACACTTTTGATATATTAATTGATTTATTTATGTTGTGTCTCTGTTTTTTTTTTGGTCGCTTAGAATACTTAAATCCAAATTAGGTTAGGTAATCCAATCAATACAGATAATAATTCATCAGATGTATAAGATTTAAATTAGTTAGATTCGTGCGAAATGTGTGTGTGTGTGTGTGTGTTTGTGTGACTTAAAGGCTCCATATCATATGGAGCCTAATATCATACAAAGTCCTCCTTTCGATTGGTTTCATCCTTTAGTTTTTTGCCTCCGTTCGGGTCTGGCTGCGATGATGAGCGCCTCCGATCGAGCAACGGAATCGGACACGTCTGATGTGTCGTTGGTATTGAATAGTTCATTTTGTACTGTTGTGCCGTTTTCTGAAACAGACCATATCTGAAAATAGAATAAATTTATACAGTTAACTACAATCAGACGCAGATGAAATTGATCGAAATGACGAAACGATAGTTTACTTGGATAGCAGTACAAATAAATCACGTCGATATTGCGATGTAAGAATCGCATACAAATATGGATCCGCACACGAATTCAGCGGATAGAAGAAAACGAGCAATATTTTGGATTTGGCAACATCGATAAGGGGTAGACCGGCTAATGCAGTTAGCCCAAAGAATGCGATCGGTGCCCAACACGCAAAATTTGTAAACACCAACAATGCCATTTTTTTTGCAACCGTCATTTCACCTCTTGACACCTGTGTTACGGCATGCCGTGTGCCTTTGTCCAATGAAAAGTACATACGTGCATAGCATATGGCGATTATACAAAATGCCAAACCATTTATTGCCATGATCGCCACCAAATAGGCGATGTCAAGTGAATCCCGTGCCTCCATCGGCAGACAAATACTAAATTGATGGTGACAGAAAATAGATCGAATAATTTAATTATTAAATAACTTAAAGCAAATACAGTGTCTATCAAATAAAGTGAACGGAACGGAACGGAATTGAACACATTCCAACATACACAACATTTAATGGCATGAAATAGGGACTGTCTCTGTGGTTTTTCATAATTAATGGTTGCATCAAACTGGTTCTACTCAACAGGTTAAACTCAACTCTTGATGTAAACAACACAACAACATAGGGGTAACCGAACGAAATATGAATTTGCGCATTCAAAGCTATCGATTCTTTGATGCAATAGTTAGGTCGAGAAAAAAAACGAAATCAGAATCTTTCGGTTCAATTCATTAAGTGGCATTTCATTTCTATTAAGATGAGAAAAAGAATCGGTAATTGTTTGGTTTTCATGAAAAGAATCCTATTATTGCTATGTTGGAAAATCCGATTAAGCCAGAATTTTATCAACAACCAAAAAATATCACTAAAACGCCAGGCAATTTGTTTTACGACAAAAAAAAACGCGAATTAAAGAAGCTTTTATGGACCAAAAACTGTTGGCATACCCCATACTACACCACACCTCCTACCCAACCAAAAACAGAAGTTCAATATTTTCGACGTTGTTTGCTCATACCTGGTTGATGAATAGTTACTGAAGCCGAACAGCGGAAGCGATGACATCACCATGGAATATATCCAACCGCAGACCATAATGCATGAGGCGGCTCTTATTTTAATTCTTTTATTTAGATAAATGGCATGTGTTATTGCATACCAGCGCTCAATGGTTATTAAGGTCAATGTGAAAACGGATAAATGCGTCGCAAACACTGTAAGAAATCCCGCCACCTTGCATCCAATGCCTGCAAAATAAACAAACAGCGTGATTGATTGATTGATTTATTCGATACGACACCAAACGAGAAACAGTCAGCGCATTTATCTTCGAATAAATCTAATTATCGTTAAAGGCTTAACAAAATATTCCCGACATCCTCAGATCGAACGTCGCACCGAAACCAATGAACTACTCAACAAATTGAAACTTACATCGATTTTATCCCCGATTTTGGTATATCATAGACAAATTGTCCGTTTTCAATATAATTTTTTAAGGGTAATATACGCACAGAATTTGATGGATCGTTTGATTGATTATTTAACTTTCGACAAGTTTCTTTAGATGTTTTTTTTTCCGTACAGTTATGAGCCTTTTCTTTCTTGTTCCTGTAAAAAAGTTTCCGTACGAATGAAAAACTTTGCGTCGTTTTGAATTTTGTTCAGAACACCTCAACATATAAGTATAGTGCTTCCCTTTTGTGCTGAGACTTTCACATGTAAGGCGATTTGGTTTGGGTCGCATAGGCGATAGCATAGCGTTGAACCATGTTCATTATATTTGAATTGAAATTCCCAAATCAAATAACAATGCCCAGTGTGCGGAAAGCGTATTACGTCCGTCGAAAAAATATATAGATGTGAAACAAAGACACGAGCATCGGCCATCGGTCGAGCCGTATAATTTAATTAAGCGCTCGGAAAATTGGGGTTGTGCGGACACTTTGATTGGAATAAAATCCAAAAACAAGTGTTACATTGTGCCAGCAAAAGCAAGTGTTACACATTCGAGCGAATCACTTTTGACGTAAATCTGTCTTAATTTTTACACAATCGCATCGTTGGATACACGCTCAGTCATTTGTAAATTAATGGTAGCAAAAATGCTTGCGGCACTGTGCGACCGTTCGACCCAAGGAATTAACAACAACAACAGAGAAAAAAAAACGGATGGTGATTAATCGTATTTTGATACCATATTGCCAGTCGTAAGCAAAGTTAAAGTACTCCCCCATCGAATGGATGTCAATCGATGCGATAAGTAGCAGATAAAGACCCAGACACAAATCGGCAAACGCAAGATGACTTATTAGAAATTTCGGCACCGTCACTTCATTCCTTAACACATCGAAAAACACAAAATTCTCAAATTAATTTATTATCATTTCCTCGAAATGTTTAATTGAACAAACACAAAAAATAAAACACGTTTGACGCAATTGACGCGCCCGTGCGCAACGATGATTTCTCATGGAAACGGAACGATGAAAAAATCAAAAATTTACCAATTTGAAAATAGCACCAACAGCACCGCCACATTCCCAAAGACAGCCAACAATACAACAATCCAAACGGATGTACGCAACCACTGTGATCCCATCACATCTTCACACAGACAAAAATAAAGCAAAAAAAAAAAAAGAACGAAAAGCATTTTCAAACTGAAATCAAACAAATGTACCACGAAAAATGAAGCTAACCTTCACACGGATTCAGAGCATCCGGCACGGGAAAGCACTTGATATCTATTTTTCTAATTGAGAATGAAATGGAATTAAAAAGGAATCGGATTTTTATCTTAAAAGCTCTAAATAAGTTGTTTGAACACGAGTGTGGGCGATACATACTTGATCGTTAGCTTTCCACAAACAGCATGCTTTACTTTGTCTGGATCAACGTCGGCGGTTGAATCCATAAACTCCCCGAAATCGATGTTATTCGCTAGAAAATTATTCGAAACATCGCTATTATCTTGATAGCTCACCGGTGCTCCGGTTATTGCATTACTATCCGATGATGATATGCTGTATTCTAACGATGAGTTCTCAGTAAACGAACCAATAACGCTGTCTTCGAAGTGACTACGCCAAAAACAGAGGTCAAATCAGAAGGAATATGGCAAAGAGAGAGGTAAAGAGATAGAGACAATATTTGAACAGAATCATATAATGTTTGGTGGCATACTTATAGAAACTTTCTCCCGGATCGTTCGCGGCTCTTTTGTACAGTAATTTGTTGGTGGCGTTGGTTTCGTCAATGACATCGGTGGATCCGTTGAGTTGTCGAAAAGTTTCAATTGATTCGAGATTTGCCTGCAAAAGAAAACTTTTGATTTGTTCTCTTTTTTCCTCTCTCTATTTCTCACACACACTCAAGTTAAAGCTACCATTGAAATCAATCGAAAGCAATTCATGCAGAGGCCATCTGTGCAAACTAGACAAGTTTATTGTAAACATTGTCTATGCCAACATATCGGCGAAAAGTATGCTTATTGGGGGAAGGGGGAAGAGAGTGCTTAAGCGCAACAGTATCATCATCATTTTGCGGCACATGACTCATGATGCGCCATTTATACAAGTTTTTCTGTTTTTCTCGTGTTTTTTTTTCGAAATTGTTCTTCTTTTGTTCGACGCTCGCATAATTATGAACAATCACATTTGACACCAGCTTTTGCATGGATCGATTGATTCACATTGAATCGAAAGAACGAGTTCAATTGACGGAGATCGAAAACATTTTGGTGACGGAAGGCGGCGGGAGATGTGCGTGTGTGTGTGTGTGTGTGTGTGTGTGTAGAGTTGATGAACTTACAAAGTTTCCATCGTGTTTTACTTTAGTATCCATCATCAGTTCGTTGTTCATGCATTTTTTATGCAATTCAGCCAAATATTTCTCTCGCTGAGCATGGCGCTGCGGATCATGTCTCTGGGGAAATTTGAAAGCACAACAGTGGAACGGATGTGTAAGCCAAGCATATCGCAAATTCTGCCGAAAAAAAATGCAACACAGAGAAGAGAGAACGAAAAGGGAAAAAAATTATTGAAACTGAAATCAAATAAATGTTCCATGAAAATTGCAGCACTGACTTTCGTTTGCTTCGAAGAAATTTCTGTGAAACACGATTCTTTTTTTCTTCGCTCAAAAGAAAGTGAAAGAAAAGTCGGTCGCTGTTCGATTTTTTTCTTTCAGACGACCATGACCACACTTACTTGGAATGCATACACTGATGGGATGGTTTTCAGAGAGTGGGTATTTTGAATTCGCAACACTTCAAGCTTTTCCAAACCATTGTGCGGCATCGATTCGATCGACGTGTTTGATAAATCTCTGATAAATTTCATCATTCAATTAGTCTCGTTTATATTTAGAGCGACATAAAAAATGCCAAACATTTCAACGAAATTGATAGAACAAAAAAAAGAAGAATATGTGGATAAAAAAAGCGACATACAATTCCATCACATTGAGGATGCCAGCAAAACCGTTTTGATGAATATTTCTTAGCTTTTTATTGGCTTTGAACGATCTGAAAAATGTGAAATGTGAACTCAAGCATCTGATTTTTTTCTCTTGATATATTTTTATATCTAAATTTTCGATAGCAATAAAAAAAACACAGTTATGTATATTCAACCGTACAAACAAGAGAAAAAAAGTGGTTGTGTGAGTTTCATCTCTCTGTGAACACCACCCACGGCCTTTGCACTTAATTTCCATTACTTACAGTTTAGCTATTTCCGACCCAAAGAATGCCGAATCATGAATATAAGTGAGATCATTGTTATTTAGAATGCTGAAATGTCAAAATCAGTCATCACAAATCACAGACAACGATAGCAACAACAGCAACAAAAAACATATTTACGTGTGCTTCTTACAATTGTTCGGTCCGAATTTTCACAGATTTCGGATAAATCTCATCGATTTGATTGCCTTCGAAATCTCTGAAAATATGCGGAATTAATTTCACTTTCAATTGAATAAATTCGAGACAATTTTGGTAAACATTCAACAGAACAGAGACGGAAAAAAAACCTCCTAATACACTCAAGTACTTGACATCCAGATAAGCAACGTTTGCATGGTGCGGCTGTTGACACTATATTTTCCTATATTTCGAATTGGCGCGCTGTGTAGTTCCGATTTGAAATGTTAAATTACATTGATGTGCCCTTTGAAATTGGGGGGCGCTCGCGTCGCCTCAAATGACTTTGACGTTCAACAGCCGCCACACGAACGTTTGTGTTTTGTTTTAATGCGATCTTGCCGTTTTCTTTCCTGGATGTTCGTTGGATGGATTTAATGAAAAAAAAACGGGAAAAAACGACAAACAAATAAACTCCTTACGTAAACTCACACCATATTAAATATAGTCCCTGTTGATAGATAGCTCATATCAGGAATCCGTTTAAGTGCACAGTTAATAATTCGGCTGGAAATGAAAGACAGAAAAAAACATCGAATTTTGATTGCATAGACAGAAATTTGTTGAAAATTTTGATCTCATTTATTGGCAGCTTACAGCGATTTAAATGTCGGCGTGATTCCCTCGAAGACATTGGCGGACAAATACATAAGCTTTCTACAATTCGAAATGTAGCTAAACGTGTCAAGCGAAAAAGTAGATAAGGGAGAAGGAGAGACAGAAATAAAGATTAATCGCGATACGAAATTTTTGGGACACAAAAGAAAATCGAAATTGACTTTGTGTGCGTGTATATGAGTGGAAGTTCCACTTCGTTCTTTTCAATTTCTTTTGTTTTCATGTGGGAATGTTTAAGGTGGGGAGTGTTAATATAGATGATTTTGCTTGAAATCGCAAATGTGCGCGAGATCAGCCAACGAATTTTTCTAATAAATAAAATTCGGTGTTTTTTTTTATTGTGGAAGAGGGAGAGAGAGATGAAATCACAGACATACATACATGGTTCTTAAACAAGCCAATTTGGAAAAAGCACCCGGTTGGATGGATTCGAACTCCATCAAATCAGTGAACATTCTGCAATGAAATAAAATGTGTGATGTTTCTATGTGCCAATTTTATTTTCAAATTCGTCTTCTTCTTCTTCTTCTTCTACACTTAATTTCACATCGCGTGCTGTTTATTTGTGATTGTGGTAGTAGTTATTGTGTAAACAAATAATTACGATGTAAAGATATACTGTGTTACACGTGGCAACAACAAAATGCAAAAAACAAAAGAATTCGCATACTTTGTCACTCACCGCATGGGTCCAAAACACTTACATGTCTTGCAATGAAGATCCATACTTTTTGAGACCGGTGTAGCGTAGCATTGGTATGCCGGCCGCTGAAATCGATAAACGTTGCATATTCACGGGCAAACGTTGTGGCACACGAACCAACGCCAATCCTTTACATCGACATTCCAATTCACCCTGCATGCAATTAATATCGATGATAAAGTACGACCCGCAAGAGAGAGAGAGAGACCGAAAAGAAGGGAGAAGAAGATAAACAGTGATACTTTGTATTCCATTATTCCATATAATGTGAACAAGTTTTTCGTTTTGACTTATTCAATTAGCAACTCGAAACAATTTGTTTCACACAACCAATATTCATATATGAATAATAAGAGAATAAATAATTTCAGTCTGAATTGTTGAAGATAACACACAAACAAAAAACTAGAGTATTATTAATAATTAACGCGTTCACGGTGGGTCACGTGCAGTCATTTGTTTCACCTGAATCGGATCATATTGGAAACATGCTTGACAATGCTAAGCGGCTCGCAACAAACGACAAAAAAAAATGGTAATCATACAAACATCTGAAAGATGTTCCATTGTCGCTGTCAAGGAGTTTCATAATCAGTCAGTGCGCCCAATTAATCATCAAATCAGTGGGATTTCACGGAATTAATGCAAACAATGGCAAAACCATTTAAAAAGAAAATTGAATTCCGACGTGATGAATTGTCGAACGGAAACATTTGCTTTTGAAATTTGTAATTCCTTGTTCAAATAAAATGAAGTGGAATTTTACCTCGCCATAGACATAACCCGTTGTTGTGTTCCAACAATAGCATTCCCATCCGCGAATCGGTGAATTATCAACAGCATTCGGTGTTCCAAAATCCAATTTCGACGAGTCCAATATCGATTCTTCCGATAATACACTTGGAAAGCGATCCAATGCCTCATTTTCAACCGATTTCATTGATGTCAATGACAAATTTACCGCTTCTTCAGCCGTTGTTAAATCGTTATTTCCATTTAAGAACTCCATTGACATCACGCCAAGCAAACTAATGCAATTAAATCGTTGCCATCCAATAATTAAACTTGTGTAACACATGTAAGTGATAATTCGTTTGTAGCTCATGTGTAAATAACGCTTTGTGTCAGATTTTCCCATTTTGAATGCATCCACACTCTGTGTGTGTATGTTTTTATTTATCTATGTGTGTATGTGAGTCGGTTTTCTTGTGCGAATCGTTTTGTGTGTGTTTTCTTCTTCTTCTTTCACTAAATTTCTCACTTCGATGAATTGAAATGTCCCGAACCACCGATTTGCTTCTTGTTTGTTATTTCTTTCTTTCTTCTTCTTGGCTGGGTTGGCTCCAGTTAATTTGACGGTGAATTTTGTCAGTGAATCAGTGTGTTGTTTGCAGCATTTCATGTTATTTCTTGTTATTTGGTGCATAGCATCCAAACGGTTTGGCGTTGCTTATCGTTGGGCATTGTCCTTTAATGCACATCATTTCATTGTGTAGCAGCAGTTCATTCATTAAAAAACGTTCACTCAAACTCAGTGATTTTTAAACACAGCACCAAATGGTCCATTAAAAAGTGGAGAGTGCACTGCACGCTTTGTACTATTTTTCTTCGCTTTTTTCTATTCTATTTGAATTCAATTGAATTTTATCACCGTTAGATTCAACACGCGGGTAACGATATCAAATTTATAGAAATTGTTTAACAGGAATTCCTTTTTAAAATGCCACTGTCACTATGAATTTTACATTGAACATCCGTCATGATATATTACTTCCATCTTAGAGAGTAAATGTACCTGTGCTCGACAGTTCTGTGTTGCTCTTGTTGTTGTTATTGTTATTGTTGTTTTTTACACGTTGTGAAATTAAATTATTGTTGACAGTTCAATAAACACTTTTTTGAGTGACTGAGAGAGAGAGAGAGAGAGAGAGAGAGAGAGAGAGAAAGAGAGTGAGAGAGCAAGAAATGATGACTGTGTAAAATGTGTGTGTGTGTATACAATTCAAGTGAGGCGATTTGCACATTACATCACGATCTAGACACGCTGTGGAAAGATATTTTCAAGCATGTTGTTTATATTCAATGTTTACGATGTTTGATTCGCGCCAAGGGCCACAGTATCAACTAGTATGACTTCTCGTTAGCATTCTAATGAATTTGAAAATCGTTCATGCAAACAGCGTGTGCTGTACGGAGAACATTTTAAGGAATTTTCCAAGCAAAAATAAGTCAAGTTGACACGCTCATGGTATCCTATACAAATGCCACACTTCATACCCACATATACCAAACTACGGACACCTGTTTGACATCAGATACTCTACAATTTCACCGAAATGAATCCTTTGAAGTGTTTTATTAATTTGAAAATAAATAGCCAGTGCTTTAAAGAGGGGAAGGATTCGATTGTTACGCATCCTTGAAAGTTTCAAGTTGAAACTTAAGTTCTCAGCAATCATTTCATTGATGTGAGCTAGCGCCGTTATTTTTTTGTGCAAAATAAAAACAAAAGAACACAAATGTATACAATGCGTTTTTCAGTGTGTTATTGCACCTTCGATCATAAACAATAAATAATTGTGCTATTATCCAAGTTCTTGGTATTTCTACCATGAATTACTACGACTGATCTGTGTTAAAACAATTCCGCATCAGCAGCCAAAAGCAACGCAAATGAACTTGAAATTCACAATATTTAATTAACACATCCAAATGACACCAAATTTCTTTGCCATCCTCATATCCTCTATTGAGTGTTCTCGACTGAGAGCAATAATGTTCAGAATTATTGCCCAAATACAGTGATCGACACTACTATTATGACCGCAACGACGAGAATGTGGACAGTGTCGAAACGCAAACTGAAGATCACTAGCAAAGCTTATAAATTATGAAGCCACTGACTAGGCACATTTTGATGCAATTCATTTGAATTCTTCATTTGGTCGGCGCTAAAAAACACATTTATCGCGCAAGCGTGTAAATTAATTCAGTATTGAACATTTGGCAGAAACCAGTTTGATGTGTATATTTTATTCATAATTTTTTTTTATCTGCTCAATTTCGTGACGTTATCATTTGTCTCGTATGTATGACGACAGCTTACAAAATATCTCAATCGATCCATTGTTCGAAATCATCTGCGCGATTTCTTGGAAAACATTGAATTTTCAATCGAACGGAAGCGCCGTTTTTCTTACATGATTGTTTACATTCTGTTTTTGTTTTGGCACTGGTTTATCTGTGAATCATTACCGAATTTGAATTCTAACGGACAAAACAAAACACAAACAAAGAATCGTTACAAATGAATTATGTCATACACAAACAAGCCGAAAATATGTTTGGCTTCGTGTTTTAAACAGTTGGTCTTGGATAATTCGTTTAACGTGTAAATCAAACAATATTCAAACATTTTCACTTTTTTCGTAGTAATTAATCGTATACATTTTTGTTATGGAACCCATAAAATATCTTTTGATTTTTTTTTTCAACGTAAAGTTTGTGGATTGGAATTCCCAATTTCGCATCAACACTCGCTGTGCAATTGACGTAGTGAACGGTTTATCGTTGACTGTGTGATCAAAAATGTCTGTTTCATTGAAACGGGCTTTTTATGCAATTTTTTTCCTCCCTGCCATAGGATAATGAACCAAGTACTCTTATTTTTTGCTTGAAATTCCATTCACAAATTTTCGGCGATAAAGCTAAAGGTTAAACCACAGGTTTAATTGGTGAGACGCTTCGTCTAGGCAGCCTGTAAATTGTTTTTTTATCTTTTGTTCTTTTTTTCGGTTTTCACAGTATTTTCTTCCATTGGCACTTCACAACGAAATTTTACCATATACTCTTTCGTTTATTATTAATTTATTTATTTTTCTGTTGTTGTCGTTGGTGGTTTGTGTGCAACTAGTGTGTTCACAGTTTCAAAGGCGAGAAAGACGTAATCGTTGAAACGATCGCATCGGCGTGTAAATCAAAACTAAACGAAAGCACAAAAAGCATCCACGCAACGACCACCGAAGCGAGTGTAGAGACTGAAAAGAATGTTGTGAGTGCTGGAGTGCGCGGTTATATGGATGTGCTTTTGGCAATATATATAAAAATGAAATGCTTGTTGTCGGCTTAATAAACACGATTGAGCGAAGCAAGCAACCTCTCTGAATCTGTTTGCCGGAGCAGCGGGTGTTGTTGCTTGCCATATGACTTGGATTATGGATTGTGTGTATGGACGGCATTTTGTTGGATTGATTCGAACGGCATCGAATCAAATGGCAACGACGGATCGAATTGAAACAGATCAAAATTTGTAATAATAATCAGCCCCTCTGATGGAATACCTGAGACAAAAAAAGAACAGAAATTATTACACCAATAAAATTCCAATGATATCTGATGGACATACGAGAGATACGTTTCTTTCTTTCTTTTTTTTATTTTCCTCCATTGTGCTTCTCCCTCTCTTTTTCTCCTCCTCTTTCTCTATATTAGCATTGAGAATCATAGCCCAATACAACTCAACTCTGGTTTAGCTAATTTGAGCAGGTACAAATTTGTTAAGTAAATAATTTTTTTGTCGCACGGTCGTCAGATTGAATCGATTTGATGCGGTGACTTATTATGATGACGCTATTTCGGTATGATAACATGGAAACTCAAATACTGGCACGCTCCTCATTTTCTCTCTCAGTCACGCTCTTCAGTCGTGTGTAGTGTAATTGGCGTTTTATTAACTAATTCAATCATTTTTAATTGCTTGTCATTGTTCATGGGATACAGTAATTCATTGAATTCACTTGTTGTGTGCACTGCATTGTGTATTTCTATCTGCAAGAGACAGTTAAATAAAAGAAAAACAACAGTAAACCAATCAGAATCGCAATTAAGGGATAATAATTGGCAAAAAAGCCCATGGCTATTTTTATACAAAAATTAATACCTATAATTCTACAGACAACGGAATAATTTTTCGCTTTAATTTGTAATGCGTTCGTTTTTGGTCCGATTTTCGTATCGTCTCTCACTTCCGAACGAGAATAAAACTTGGAAAAACAATAATGTTTGAACTTATGTTTGTTCGCTCATATACATTTATATATTGCCACGCGCTGCCAATACTCTTCGATACACCACTCAATCGGAAGGAATCATCGAAAATGAAATGCCTACGCATCGCTTAGTTAAGATCATCATATATTGGATTAGGTGGTCATTTTCTTTTTATCTCTATAAATGGCAAAGCGTGTGCATGGACACAGGGCGCCCCATGGTTGAGGGAAAAAATGAGAAAGAGCGATGATTTCGTAATTCTCAATCAAATCTAATTGAAATATCATCAAATAATTAAGTTGAACGAAAATAATAACAACACATCTTGAGACAAATTGATATTAACATTGACCGCTAGTCTTAACGATACACGCGTACAAACAGACACATTTCGCACCTACGCCACGAGAAGCAGGGGAAATGCGAAGTGATTTAACAAATCAGTAGTCAGATTTTAGCTTTAATATCATTTGAAATTAATTTTTTTTTCACATCGAAAAACAAATTTAAGACAATAAATATGTTATTAGTAACGCCAAATTTCGTAGTATTTCTTCAGAAAGGTGTGTTTATCCTGATTTAATCATATCATTTTGGAACGTATGATTTGTCGACAGTGTTGCATGTTGTTTGGTGTTGATCGGCACTAATTGAAAAGGCCACCAAATTCTCCTACAATTGTCGCTACACTGACCGCTGACCGATGCCGTTGATGTTGCTGCTACTCGTGTAAAAACGTATGGAAGTGTTAAATGGAATTGCACGATGTCAACTATATGCTCGTTACAAATTTCATTTTTTTCTCATCTTTCAAAACGATTCAATATACACGTTTATTCTCGTAGCTTCTTATTACAAGAATAGATATGCCATTTTCAGAAAACGGCACAGTCTGTGTTGGTTTTGGTTTTTTTTTGTTTTTTTTTCGTTTGTTTGTATATATACATTACTAAACAAGATTACTTCAGCGCGAATAGGATACCGCCGCTCTGATGAGAGCAAGTATTTTTCGAATGTAATAAGTAAAACATGATTTTTTTTTTTGAATTGATTGAATGAAATCCGACCCACGCCATTCGCCTTTAATACAAAAGCTATACTATGTGCATTCGAAACGCCCATCAATATTGCGTCAGAATTTCGAATTGGTCGCGTTAAGAAAATCACAAAGTTCAGCCAAATGTCAGCAAACATGAAGCGAATGGGAAAGATAGAAAGGGGAGCGAGGGTTGAAAAGGGGTTCTCGTTGGCGATATTGCGATCATATCTCAAAATTTCGATATTCATGTTTTCTATTCAATCCGAAAGAAAAGGACTAATGCCTTAGGCGCGATATACACTCAACGCAAACCGATTATGCGTAATTCAAGTGAACCAAATTGGATTTTTTAGTCGAATGCACAGAAAAGCTTTTATTCTCTTTGGATAGTGATCCTATTCGGGTCATCAACAGTACAAGAAAACAAAAACATGCAGAAAATGAATAACATGAGTACATTCGTGTACGAGTCAATTTATTGGAACAGTTTTTTTTTGTAACGACACAAATGAATTCATTCATTTTAAGTAGATTTTTCCAACAACTGTTTCCATTTTGTATGTGTGTGCGTTTTTTTTGCATTTCTACATATTTCTATCACCATACGATAACACCTATTTCTGCTACTGTGTAACAATTTTCCAGCCATCAATGACCGAATCGAGAAATAAGTGTAAGAGCACGTGTCAAGCGGCAAAACAAAGAATCGGTTGTAGAGCAACACTTCTTTTTTTGCTCTGTCCTCGTTCTCTTGTCACCGCTTTTCTTTCTTTCTCTTTTTCATTTTTCTTTACAAGTGAAAACCCGTGGCATTTATTCAAATTTGAAATGAATTTAACATTCGACTTGTGGAAATTGCTCACAAGCATTCGATGCATTAGACACACACATATTTAAACACAACCGACTGAAATGGCAAACGTCACACCACACCACACATACCACATGAATGATTCTGTAAAGCAATCAAACCAACATTTAACGAGGTTTCCATCGTAATGCGACAGGAGTTGGCTCTGTCGTATATATGTTGTATCTGTTTCTCTTTTCACAATGAATTATGTATTTCGATATTTTCCCGAATGTTCTCCAATAGATAAAAGTCTTTTCCACTAATGAGGATAATTGTGATTGACGATGCGGAAATCTTTGATCTTTTTTTCCACCGTTTTTTGACATTCAGCATGTTTTTAACAATTCATTTATGTCAATTATATCGAGAGAGAGAGAGAGAGAGAGAGAGAGAGAGAGAACAAACACACCGTGTTTACAACACCACACAAACCATAATACGTAATTTGTTGGCCTTTGTTGTCTGTGTTTCTGTGCAAAAAATTCGCGCGCCAATAGCCATCCCACCATGTAGCAAACATAAAATTGGGTACATTTTCTTGGAATGCGGCTAGTCCATCAGTTCAACAGTCATTTAGAGTAACAAATCAACAATTGGTTTAACCTACGAATTTTCGTGGAACCAAAACAGACGACACGATGATGGAAAACATCAAAATGCTAACAGCAAAATATTGTTTATTTCTTTGCATTTTTTTTCGGTAGAAATATTTATTACACACAGTCGGAGTATTAGAAGAGATCAGAATATTCTAGAACATTTGTCAGTTATATTCGGACAATTTTTGATTATTACTATTATTCACACATGTGCGTATTTTGTATGGAAACTGGACTGTGATAAAGGATAGCGACTTGGTGTATCTCTTATCAGTTACGCGCAATACGTGGAAAACCGCGAAAACGCAAATATTCGCCATCCCATTTTTCACAGAACTGACAAGAGATAAGTGACTTCTATCTTCAGCAAAGTTGTAAAGTAACTTGCTGAAGATACCAATTCGTTATCTCTTCTCACAGTCCAGTTTTCATACAAAATACATTACGGGCATTGTATGCCCGAGGGACAGGAATATGGTGCAAATTCAAGGTGTTGCAAATACAGTCATAGTGTTAATAAAGAATAATTTGGAAATTTTCGGGAGAAGAATAAGATGCGCATGGATTTAATTGCTTCGGATAAAAAAAAAACATTTAATTGCTTTCGAAAGGTGGATTTATTTTTATATTGTTGAGTGTTTTATTTTTCACGGCTAAAATCCAATTATTAGATGAAGCTATGCATACACCACCACTGTTTTGGCATGAGTTCGGCAAAAAACTCTTAAAATTAGAACATATAATTATCAAATTGTTTTCTACTGATGGCGACGACGGCATCTCAAGTTATTGCGAAATCACACAGACACATTTTAACATGACATTCAATATTTCCGAATGGATATGTAAAAAGTTTTGCGTAAAATTCTTATGAATATGATTTGCTGGCTAACAAACTCCAATAATTATGTAATCGCTTGTTACGGATTGCCATTAATTTAATGAACATGCCACATCAATCACGGATGCTGAATGCTTCATGTTATTGTCAAAATTTATGCGCATCGTCGCGAATCGATGGCTCTGCTGACTGTGGTTGATGTTGCTGTTGCTGTTACCGATTTTCTTACTTATCTGTTGATGATGTTTGGCATTGAAAGCCAAGGACATACACACGTAGATTGAGACCGCGACCGAATTTGAACCTGACAACCTAAATCGACATCTCATCCGATTGCCAAAAATGTAACAGTTAATTTCGTTTAGAACGTCTCAATATCTTATTTGCTGCTGATACTGCTGCTGATGCCGTCGTCACGTGAATCGGATCAATGGAAAGCAGATAATTCCATTCAGTATGAAATCCAAACCCATCCCCCGACAATCTCCAGTGAGCGCAGACATGAACGAATTTATTTCTTCTTCTTTTTTCTTGCCATTTTCACCCCCTACAGCGAATTTCCGGTCGAACCGAAATTTTCGCGAGTAGGCATCAAATAATCATGAAAACTATGCTAAACGACGAAATAAGGAAACGTGCAGCATCACATACACACACACACACATCATTTCAAAGAAGGAATAAAAAGCAACAACAACAACAAAAAATGTATAATAAAATAATGACGAAAGGTTTGGCTCATATATGACTTTTGCCCTTTATTCGTTGCCGGCTGTATACATTTTTTACATGGCATCTCTTGGAGATAATTCAACACTTTACACTTGTGTTTCCATCATCATACAACAATTTTTTTTTTCGTTTCTTCCATATTTCAACAAAAATAAATTAGACTCATGTACATGAGAAAATAGCTTTATGAAAATTCATATCTTCATAACTCGGCAAACAAAAAGGAAGGAAGTAAAAGTGGGAAACGTTGCAAACGCTTATTAATGAATTCATTTTAAAAGAGGTAATCCGTTCAACATCGTGAATTACGAGGAACTTGGGAATAATTTATCTGATTTACACTTGCCAGGGTAGGAAATTACCGGCTGGTAAGGATCCACATGGAATCGGACCATTACTGAAATCAAAAATACCATTGTTAGTGTGAATGATGAAAGGTATAATGTTTGTTGCAAATAGAAACGGATACAGTAAGTGACACGATAAATACGTACCCTGGAATTTCGGGCCGGATAAACGCTTTCGGCGATTGTGCTTGAATTCCATCCGAATTATCACAGATCAAACGAGCGACTGAAGTCTTTTTGATTTCTTTCAACTGATCAGGTGTAAATGCGCCCGGATTTATCATCGGCGAATGTTCATAGAAATAGCGGTCACCCTGACGGAACTTGGAGAATTGATCGGCAATAATGTCACCGAATGTCGGACCGACGAGTCCATCACCGCGAGCCGCTTCGATTAAACCGCCAATCCACAAATCTATGTCATCCGGACTTTGGTAGACAGACGCCAATTTTTCAGCAACCTTTCAAGATAGACAAATTGGAAACTAGAATTTTGAGAGGCACGAAATTTTTTTTTTTAACTTACTCCAGGGCCGAATTCATCGAAACTCAACACTTTGCTATGGCCAGTCACTTCAACGTAATCATTGTATGGACGAATACCGTGATCCCGACCACGTAATATATTTATCGATGCCAAATCTAATCCAAATGGATTTGATCCTCGGAATAGGAATTTACTCAACTGTAAAATGATGGAAAATATGGTTTTTTTTTAAATAGCGATAAAGAAGAAATGTAAATGATTGAACAAGAAGGCCAACTCACCCCCTGCGTAAGAGCCGAATCAACTTGTTGCATCGGCTGACGTGTGAGTGTTAACAGAATTTCATCGTAGAAATTGCGTTGTCGCAATCTGTTTGTGTTGAAGAAAACATCCGGAATTTCAATTACTTCATCTTCACCGTTGCCTTTATGAACGCTGAAAGTGGGAGAAAAGTAGAATTTTTGATGAGGAAAATGAGTGAGAGAAGATTATTTCAGCACAACATCTAGTGCGGATGGTTTGGACTGCATGAAAATTAAACGGAAATACGTACAAAAATCGCCCGTCGACTGTTGAATGGCCAAAACGTTGTGCAGCCGTTGAAAATTCACTGGTAATGCATGCATTAACATCCGGGTTGTAATCATCCGAATATCCCGTCTCACGTATGCTCAAGCCAAATCGTTGCATTGTTTCGGTACCAACCACTTTGGGTAGCCACTCATTGTAGACAATATGTTGAATTTCGGCTTCAACGATTCGCTTTGTTTCAAAGAAAATCACATCGTCCGACCATCTCGGATTCAAACCGCTCAAAATATCGGCAATACGATTGTGCTCCCGTGCAAATAAAATATGTAATGCCGTTAACGATATAATTTGGCTGGCTCGAAAGTCACCTATTCAATAATTCAATGAAAAACGATTCGTACGTTATTATGGCAACCGAAGTGTGTAATTCGAAACGTGATTATTATGTATATGCTATACGAAAGTTATGTGTATGTAGGTATTTTTATATGTACCGGCAAAAAAGCATGGGCCCTTATCCAAACTGACACAAGTTTTCGTATCAAGTGTTAATGGCAACAACTGTCTACCGAAATCATCAAGCATCCGAAGACGACCACCCTGAAAACTTCGCACCTCGGACGCAGTCTTCTCGTCTACTCCATAAATAGCCGAACCGTCGATGAAGTGGGTCACTTTGCTCACCTAATAAATGTATTGGACATTTTGTTGTGGTTGGATTAATCAAAAACATGATATACTTTTTTTTCCATTCAGTATTGTGTCTATTGTACCTGTTTGCCATAACCCAATTGGCATTGTCCATCCGGTGCAAGTGCTGATCGAACAAAATTCATGCATCCCTGATCAAATTGACTGTAGAAATCATCGTCGGGCTCAATGAAAATGGGCAAACAGGCAAAGTGTAATGATTCACGTGGCAAAATACGTCGACCGTCTTTTGTGCAGCATCGAATTGATGCTCCATCACCTATGAAATAGAAAAGAATTTAGTTAGAAATAGTACAAAGCGAAACCTGCTCGGTACAGAGATTTTCTTTTCGAAGGAGAATAAAACACATACTAGTTTTAATGGAGGATGATAAAGATATGTCATGCGTAAGAAATTGGCCAAATTGCATAAACAATAAGTTGAGACTTGGATGAGGACGGTCAGCATCTTTGATCAATTCTCTCGAAATAGTGCGGGGATTTGTCAATGGTGATCCAGTGACTGATGTCAATCTATAACCACCAATTAAAAGAGTTTAAAATTTGCATTGTTTTGCATCAAAATGTTGCATTTTACCTTGGTTGCCAAATTCCATCCTCGTAGCTCGGTGGTAGTAATCGTTCCCTAAAAACGTGATTTTGCTTATTTATTCATCTTCTGTTTATTTAAGCAACAAAAACGGTTTATTCTTCTTTAAAATTTATTTATTCGCAAACGGAATCGCGTTACGTACATTGGTGAACCGGCTGCACCCCAAAGTCCTTTGCGTGGATCCGGATTGTTGCATTTACCGTCGATGGTGCGATAACGTGATGCTTCAGGCGGGCAAACTGGAAATTGATCACATAGATGCTCTAACGGTGTACCATCGATGGGTGCTTGCACCTCTCGCAACTGAAAATCTTCTTCAGCCACATTTTGTCTAGCAAATAAAATTACAACATATTGTTTACCAACGCAATGCTACATAAGCGAATTCTTACGATGAAACTTTTACATGTAGAAATTACCTCTCTTTGAACAATCGACTGGCAAACACCTGGTGAAGTGCTCTCTTATTTGCATGCTGTATTTTCATTTCGGATTCCGTTGACGATCTGATTAAAACATACACACACGCAGAAAGAGAAGAGAAACAGAAATATGCTCATCTTATTATCAATTTATAAGAGAAAAACGGATTTTGTCGGTAGAAATAAACACATGAAAATGAACGTTAGAAGAATATTTTCGCAATCAGGTTGCATACCAAATTGACTGAAGAAATTATTCAATTGTTATACGCAAATTTGCTACACAATACATAAAGTGCGATGCATTTTAATGTCTGCCTGCGATGTGAAACAAAATGAAATATTCACGCATTTATTGTTCATTCGGAGCGGCAGCAGCAGTGACAGCAGATATTGGAATAAATTGTCACATACTCTGATGCTATAACACACAGGCCAAACAACATCTTGTTTTGAATAATTCACCATTCGATGGAAGCAAAAAATACAATGTGTTTTCTTTTGCGTTGGAATATTTTCTGCGGGCATATCATATTTTTGGCCTTTTTTTGTTTACCCAATATTTCTAGCGACACTTTGACGACGTTGTGTGTAAACATTTGTGGTTCACGAATCATTTGTGTGTGCTGTGAGAATGTCTCCGAGATTTTTGCTGCATAAATCAGTAAATAACTCAACAGAACGTTAGCACCTCAAGGAGCAAGTGACACACTCAACACAAATTGTTGTTGTTATTGTTGTTGCTGCTTATCGGTCAGTGGTACCGTCGAAAATTATACAGTTATAAAGGGAAAACAAGCCAGAGGGATAACCAAATTATGATTTGAAATTTGAATAAAATGCTGTATGACTAGGGCAAAAAAGATGGAAATCAAATGGAATTGAAATAATATGCGGCGCATTTGCATGATGAAATGCGATTGTAACAAACGTAATAAAGTCAATTTTAAAAATTGCTCCAATTTTTTATTTGATTCAAGAGATCCGAGCCATGATATTATTACCTCAAACATTAACAGAGAGAACGTAAAATATCGCATTCATCTTGGGAATTAGACGGAAAAATGCCATTCCGTATGATTGAGTCATCAAGTAACGGTTCATTTTTCACAATAAAATTGCGTCGCAAGTGAAGAATAGAGTTTCTCCCATGGGTGTTGAATGTCATTCAACGCCACTAAGTTGTAGACATCTCTCTCCGGCTATACGGCAAACAATGGAACCAACACTGAACATGAAAATGACATGTTCAATTGTGTTTATTTCGTTAGTTTCAACTGTGCCGCTACGAGAGGTCACTTTTGTCGTTTCTTGTTGTTATTTTACATGTAAAATCAATGCTATTAGACGAGGATTGTTTCTCTCGAAACGAATCGAATAAATTTCTTCTTTCTTTTCATGCAAACTGACCTGGTTTTTTTTCTGCGATGTTGAATGTGGGCTCTGTCTTGAAAATGTATTTTACAAATTACTTACCGAAAGCCGAGGTTATGCATAAATTCCGGCTGATCATGCGGATTGATGACTGCAACTTCTTCTTCGTGTTGACTCAAATCGATGAGATGTTCGCCCGCCTCGCTAACAACTGCATTCATTAGCTATTGAACACCATAGAAACCATTACATTTACATTGCAAACTTATAAAAGGCACAGATAATTTGAAATGTAATGATAGAATGGTTAACGAATTGAATACCTTGATAATGTTGGTTGTAACATCACTCACTGCACTTCGGCCCTGTGCAAATGGTTTCTTATGCTTATCAACTGCGTGAAAAAAATGCAACCAAATTAGCATTTTTGTGAATTTCAATGAAAAATCAAGACATTTTCCCCTTTTAAGGCAAAAACTTACAGTTGGTGAAATTGCGTCCGGTCGTACAACACACGCCGTGGTAGTTGCCATGTGGCAAATCGCAAATTTGCGGTTTTTCATGGGTTCGCAATCGAACATGCGCTGGACATTGAATGCTTGGCACACATTGAACGCCGTGCGGACATGGATCACACTTTTTGTAGAAATTCGTATTGACTGCAGAAAATTCGGAGCGTTGCAACAGAGAAGGAAAAGAATCATTGAATTGAAAATATATTTCTCCTAATATACGAAAAAAAACCCTTTCCTTACAATTTACACAAAAGAAAAAGTTAAAATTCCTGTAGATTTACCTAGGTTTGGTGTCGGTTGAAATTTGAAATTCTCATTGGTAACGGCACTTCTTGCTCGTTTGTTCAGTGAAAAACCGCATGTTTCTTCGAATGTAAAACTAATTAAAACTAAAAGCGCCAACCACCAAAGTGATGGTTGAAAACGTAACATTCTAACAAAAACGATTAATTCGATGCGAGAGTAAAATGAAAAATCTCTCTCTCTCTTCTGCACTACTTAATTTATTTTAAAACTGGGATTTTTAAAATGAAAAGTGGTACAGAACGATTCAATTAAAAAATGGATGACGATGATAATGAGACGATTTAACCGAGTATGCGGCTGAGAACAAAGTGATTTCATTTGCACCGAACGATAGTCTCTAAGCCCAATCGTTCAATTGTCGAAACAATTTTGTCGATGATTTGGTTCATTTGCACGCATTCGATTTGCAAAGAGCATTGAATGTCGTGCACCTTCACCGATGCACCGTTAACCGACGCCACAATCCAAAGTCGAACACAAACACGAAAATCATATTCGAAACAAACGGACGGCAAAGTTCATGTCCAACGCATGGATGGAGTGTATATTTCTACCATAAATGGAGTTTGTTTTGCCCAGCGCGTTTGCCGTCTCCATTCAACACGGTGTGCATATTGGGTGTATTGTTCGAAAACTCGTGAACTTTTATGTTTATGAAACTGCTTTTCATCTTACATTTTGATTGTGTTGTTCAGTTTTTTTCCGCAAATAAAATTGATCTATTTTTTTTGTTTTAAAAAATCAGTTGAAAATAAAATACACGCGACCAATTTCGAATTGTTTAAGTAGTGTTCTCAATTTACATGGAATTTACATCACCAAGTTGAATTGGATAGTTGTCTCAAGTTGTCGGTTGAAGTGGTTTGACATTTCAAGCACTGCGACAAGTAATTCCAGTGAACAGAGGCAGAAAGAGAGCGATAGAGTGTAAATGTGTGCATGTGTGAGTTTGTGAATTGAGTCGTTGTCGTTTGTGTAATATCCACTCGACTATGTTAACCGATGCGAGCGCCGCGGCTGGTAAGCATTTGAAGCGAGTTGTTTGGTGTTCGATGCGCTAACGTATTACCACCACTTCATCGTAACATACTCACGCTTGCGCATCGACAAACGAACCTGAATTCAGTTGCTTGATGAAATTCAAAGCGTGAATAACGAATTTCTGGATGTCGCTGCATTACATTCGATTTTTGTTTGCAATATAAGAACTAAAACAAACACAACAACAAGTAATACATTTTTCTTAAGTGCTTTTTTTTTGGCTGTACAATAGTTCTTCTTAATTTTTTCTCTTGGTTTTGTTTAAGTTTAATTAAATACGAAGAGTTATCAAATCGGTTAGCGAAAATAGTGAGGAAAGCTGAAAATTTATGATAATTTTGTGTTTGACGCCCAAGTTCAAGTCGGTAGTTAGGTGAATTTTTCGTGCAAAAATTTATTCATGTGGAAAAGTTTGTAGTTTTTGTTATTTTTTGGTTGTTGCTTTGATTGTAGAAAAGTCACATCCGAACGAGAGAGAATAAAGTTTTTTTTTTGAAAAAAAAAATCAGTAAAAGAAAATTCCGAAAAGAAAAAGAGTTGAGTGTGGATTTCAACAAGAAAAATAGTTCCAAAAAATCACATTGAAAATTCCATGTACATACACTGACATACACAAAAATATTTACATACCAACAGTCGTAGTTGTCGTTGTCGTACATACACACACTTGCATCGGGAGAGTGATCAGTGAGTGAGAGAACGGCCATATACATATATACATATAGCTGTAAGCAGCCCAGTCAGACAGAACGCATCGACACGGGTTGTACGGAATCGACAACGCGACCGATCAACAAAAAAAAAGTAATAACAAAAACAACAACAACCGAATTCAGTGTGTGTATGTGAACGCACAATTCTCTCTTTTGCTCTCGTATTGTATGCATGACACCCGTGCCTGTATTCGTGCTCCGTTCAATTAAAATGGAGTTATTTAAAAAACATAGTCAGCAATTGTGAACCGAAGACGACGTCGACGTCGACGACGACGACAACCATTCGACGACCGAATACGACGACAGCAACAAGCGACGACGGTAAAGCAGAAGAAAGATATGAAAAAGAATGGTCAAAGCATAAGAAGTGAAAACAAAGAGAATAAGAGACAAGAATTAAACTGAAACGAGTATGAGTGTGCGGTGACCGTGTCCGTGTATATCGGTGCGATCGCAAACAAGCATTCAGAGATTTTAGAGTGAGAGGCCAAAACCAAAAAGAAGAAACAAAGACGAAGAACACTGTGTGCTGTATTTTTATGCGCAACGAGATTTTCAGTCTTTTCATGTCTTCTTCTTCTTCTTCTTCTGGTTCATATAAGTGTGTGCGAGTGTGAGTGTGAGTATGTGTATGCATGTGTGAGAGGCTGGATACAGACTGATCTAACTCACTGTATCACTCTCTTTTCCTTCTTCTTGGTGTGCCGTGTTTTGGGCCCATTTCAAAGTGTGTGGACCTTTTTTTTTCTTAATTCGATGGAAAAATGAACAAACATTCTCGACGCTGTTAAAGTGCTCGCGCAACAGAGATGTCTATAGCCACACACATATGTCTGTAATACGTGCACCTATCATTATTACGACTTAACTGGATTTTATTAATTCGCTTTTTGTTCGAAAAGCCGTTGTTTATTCGGCTCAAGAAACTGAAAATAAGAAAAGTAGAAGGAAACAAAATAAGAAGCAAAACGCATAACACCTTACAAATCATACCAAGAAGAAGACGACAACGACACAACGCCGTGTAGAAAATAAAATTTAGCACGACCGCAACCACCATCGTGTTATTATTATCACCGATTTTTTATCGGTTGACACTAACAGAAAATAAACGCTACGCGATTCGAATCGAAACGTGAAACAATCGAAAAGTATTCTAAGGTAAATAAAAATGCACACAAAAAAGAATCTTCTATTCTATAGTATTTCCGTTCTCGCTATGGTTTATGTTAAAGCATTTTATTTTGCTAATTCGAATAGCATTCGAAATACTTTTGAACACATACCGATCACATACTCCATAGCTGATTCGGTTCGCATCAAGAACTACACATGAAAACGTTGTACAATTTCTGTGTGCGATTTTTTTCCTTCTGCCCTCTTCTGTCCACACAATTTGCATATATTTTCATTGCGTGCCATAGCGTTAGCAGCATCTCTCTCTCTCTCTCTCTATCAAGTAAATGATTCGCTTAGAGGTGTCTATTGCTGTCAATTGCAAAAGCATACAGCAAGAGTCAACGTCTTATAGGTTTTTCTTCTTCTAATGTCCGTTCGATTATATATTCGTTTCTCTTTGCAAGGAGAGAAGGAATAAAACGGACTGTATGTATGTGTACTATAATTTACGACTGAATTACTCACGGTATGGCATTTGTGCAAAGACGATGATAGCTAAGGCATTCTCGAGTACGCGTTATTTGTGTCAGAATGTTGAAAACCCGCTGCAGAGTGTAATTTAGATTGACTTCTATTCGATCTAACCGGTGCTTTGATTTGTTCACTCGCGTCGTGCGAGTTTTGTTTCCCCTTTCATATATCCAGTGTGCTACTGCTGCTATGGATATTAGTGCTAGTTTTTTTTCTCCATCTCTCTCTCTCTCTCTCTCTCCTATTTCTGTTTTCATTTCAATTAAAAGTCATTTCTTCTAATGGCGCATTCCACTTGGAACGGCATCGTTGGAGCACTTTCAATAAAGGCGAGATATTGCAAACAAGTATGTGATTATAACTTCTGATAATATCGAAATTGTGCGAGCAACAGTTACTTGTTCACATCTACCTTGTTTATGGCCGATGACAAGTGCGAAAAAAAGTAAATCATTTGCAAAAGAAAAAAAAACAGAAAATACTTGCGAAAGCATTGACTTGCTTTTAATGCAAAATGGATTGACGGCATACAGCAGAAGCAATGAGTCACAAACAGCAAAACGAGGAGCAAGAAACAGAAAAAAAGAATCGTTGAAATGATTTACCAAGAAAAATAAACAAACAAACGAACGAATGAACGAAAAAAAAAACACGGTGAGAGAGCGAGAGAGAGAGAGAGAGAGAAATGGCGAAACACGCGGAACATATCGAAATTTGTGCACATAGCGTGACAAAATATTCAACGGCCAACGGCTAAAGCGCCAAGTGAATCTTTGAATCTTATTAGAGTGATGACATATTCTGATTTCCTGATATTTCAAATCGCGCTGACGATTTCTTCGTCGCTATTTACGCGAAATGACTTATGCATAATGGAAATAAATGTTAATTTTTCAAGCTAATTTCATTCGATACACAATGGCTCATTTTCCATGAGAGATGAAGATGAAGAAAGAGAGAGAGAGAGAGAGAGAAAGAGAGAGAGAGAGATGTACACAACGAAAGAAGAACGAATATATGTGGAAGCGGTGTGATAATTTCAATAAATCTTCTTAGTGTTATGTAGAGTTTTTGCCGCCCAAAAAGAAATCAGAACAGCGAGAGAGAGAGAGAGAGAGAGAGAGAGAGGGGAGAGGGAGTGAGAGCGGAACATACACCGAGGCGCGAAATCGGTTCTTTCTTCAAATTGAAATGCATTGAAATAATCAGGCAAAACACAGACTTTGTACTGCACTCTAACATTGTTGAACGTTGGACTCAACGTACGTTATATTTTTTTGTGCTCTCTTTCATCCATTGCTTAGTCGCTGAAGCTTTTTTTGTTGTTAAATAATGCAATTTATTTATTTGTTCACTCGTTGCTATTATTGTTTTTTTTACTTCATATATTTTTGTTACACAATGCACATACAAATACAAAATCAAATGAGCGCTCAGTAACAAAGCGATTATGTGCATGTTAGCACAATTTGTTTCTTTTTTCGAGCATTTTATGTGGAGACATAACTTGAAATATATACAACAACAGAAAGAAAAAAAATCATGCAAAAAAGAAGATGCATTTTACGTGAATGAATAATACATTTTTTTTAAACCAATATATACAGACACAGAGCGAAAAAAAAACACAGAGAAGAAGTAAATGTGCACGAAGGTAGAAAAAAAAATCAAATATCAACATAAGAAACGAACGCGAGTAACCATGGAACAGAACAACGGAGAGAAGAAGAAGAAGAAGTAGTAGAAAAAGAAGCGCGAGCGAGTGCGGTAATACAATTGTGTAGACTCACGTTTGGTTCATTTTAATCAAGCACTATCTCATTCAGATGGAATGTACGCGTAATGCACCCAATCACATACATTCATTTTGGTCATTCGTATCGTATTCACCTCAGTGCCTCCTCTCTTACAACGGAGTATATCATCGTAAAATTATAATGTTACCGTCATTGTGATTTTCAGCTGAAAAGAAAAACAACAACTGAAACGTTTGTTCTTGTTCGTCGCTCGTTGTTTTTTTTCTGCTATTGCTGTTGTCGTTTTTGCATAGTATTTTGCATGGAGAATTTTGGTTTTTCTGTTGCCGATCGTTTCGCTTCGTTTTGGGTTGACAACAACATACATATCCAAAAGCCGACAGGCAAGAAGCGCATCAACGACATCGCAAAATTTGCAAACACACACACACACACACACACTAATAAAATCCCAAAGATATTGTTTGTAAAAAGCCGATCCAAAAATTCCACTTAAGCCTTGAATGCCGTCGTCGTCATCGTCGTTGTATTTATTGAAATTGTTCTTGGATGTAAAACATTTTTATTGCTGACTTAAGACGATATCTGAAATCGTGGTGAATGATCCTAAGCGAAAAATTACAAAAACAGAAGAAAAAAAAAATCAAATAGTATTTGGGCGATGGTCACAAAAGCACCACGGCACAATATATCGTTCGATTGTGAATTTACTGCAAACGATGACCATCTCCATCTCGATTTCTTCACATCGACACATGATCAATGAACATGCACGAAC